ATCTAGAAACGAAAAAAATATTACATTCTTCTCGTGATAATAACTTTTCTTCAATTATTTTCGTGACTTTTCCCTAAAACAAAAATTACAATATTTACTTCCTTTAGGAATACCCTTGCATTTGATGCTATAATGGAAATTTAGTGAAAATGACATCAACTATACTGCCAACACAACCTGCACGTAATATTTTTTATTTTCTATGTGACAATTATTTCCAAATCTCTGACAATCCTCTTCCAACAAATCCTACCTTTCGCAAACATTTTCAGGTATTTATCAACACAACCTTTACGTAACGTTTTTTATTTTCCGTGAAACAATCTCTGTTTCGAGGTATCCTGCTTTACAAAGATTCCCAGGGGCTCGTTAACGCGACCTGTAGGTTGCTTAGGTGGATCTAACAATTTTTTAAAACCCCGTGTAACAATTATCACCGCATCTTTTACAACCCCTTTTTCAACGTATCACGATTTATAACCCGTCGAAGCAACTTTACTCTGCTGCAAGCACGAAAATCACCTCAACTTCCGTCAACTTTCCAAACAACGGGAGTGTCACCGAACGAGCCATTAACTACGGAACATCCGGAAGCCCTCGAATCCAACGACAGACACAGTTCACCCCGAGACGATAAAGAAGAGAATAAAACAAAATATCTCGGAACTATAAACAAGCGGAGGGAAACGAAGACGCGTTAAATAGGAAAGAAGAGCCCCCCCGTTGACGGTTCTCGGGGAAAGAGAGCAGAAAAAGAAGGATCGTGCTCGAAGATTCAGGGAGCCGGGAACAAGGAGAGGGAACGTGAAACTAGCGAAAGTAGGGGGTGGTTGAATAGGGGAGCGGTGATGGGGAGGAGGCGACGAGGGAAAGCAGAAGGAGACGAAGTTTTATTTCGAGGGGATGGAAAGCTGCAGGACAGACGTAGGAAGTACGTAGCCGGATAAATACGACGAGGGAGTGCACGATTCCTCTTTTCCGCTCCTCTTGTTTCATTCTGTAGCTCTGTCTCTCTTTTTCTCTGTCCCGCAAACTAGAACACCGTTCGTGAACCGGCTTGTCGCGGCATAGGAGCGACATTGTCGCATCGATTTTATCAAAAGTCTTAAACACATTCGATTAAATTCCGTTAGAGGGGAAAACGACGAGAACACCTCTTGAATCGTTAGCGATGTGTCGAGCCGTGAGCAGCCTGGCAATCGATCGAATTTCGCCTGTGAATTACCGCGGCGAAGACCGAGTTCCACGGTTTTTATTCGAAATCAGACGAAACTCGTTCCGGTTCGGGCGCCCGCGCGCCTTTTAATCGAAACCAGCTCGACCTGGGGCTGGTCGGAAACCGTGTACGGGGAGCTGTCTCTCGCGTGTAAACACCTGCACGACCTGCTTTAGCGTTCAAATGAGTTGATTAAATATGTAATTTGTGCAGTCTTTCCCCCCTGGAAAACTTTTTAACCTCTCTTCGTGTGTACGACCGCGCGAAGATGTTTACCGATGGTAATTCTGGAAAGGAGATTCCACGAACCGTCAAACGGATCGCACGAGCTTTAATTATACGGGGGTGGTCTTGAATTGCTTAGATTGAATTTATTAGATGATTTTCTGTTGATGATGAAACGTGGTATACTATTGGATCGTCCGGAAAGTTCGTAGCGTTTCGAGCACAGTGTCTTCGTTATATTTTTATTGGACGAAGGATAAGGCGTTTAATTTGGTGAATAGGTATTATTTTCCAGGCGTGAATGGAATGTATTTACTATGGAAGTTATTCGTCGTTTTGTTTTCTGTTTTCCGCGAGAAATATCGACGAAACGTACGAACCACAAAGTCCATTTTGCACAACAAATTACACTACTTCCGCTGGAAGATTTTATAACATCTACCGAATCGATTAGCCTGTGCCCTGGCTGATAATTACTCTTTTGAATCACTAGAATGTTCTGTATGAAGTGAACACGTCGAAAAAAAATCCACCGAGAAACAGGTTGAAGAGTTCTTTTTCAACCAATGCAATCGAAGTTATATATGACTGGTACAATGGAATTAATTAAAAACTGGAAAGAAATTGTATAAAAAGTAGTAAATAAGTATGTAATATACATGGAGAAATATAGATTGTAACTATGGCCTTTAAAACGCTGGGAACTTTCCGAACGACCTAATAGAAGCTAGACTGATCTAATGATTATTTGTAGTTTATGCGACGGATTAAAATATTTCTGCCATTTAGCGATTTGTTGTGATTAGGACAATTTCTGTACTAAAATTGCGATGAGTTTTTTTGGGAAATCGCAAGTCGCAGATTGGGCGTTTTCGATTTTATATTTATTATATATATATATGTATATTTATATATACATATATATATGTATATTTATATATGTATATATATATTTATATATATATATCTGTATGTAGTTTTATATGTAAAATTCATTATATGTTTTGCATTAACAGTACCTTCGAGATGTTTTTCACAGCACCATTGCAACTTTGAGCTATTTAAAAACTCTGGCAACACTGACGGCAGGCTACAATTTTAATTGTTTAAATAATATGCATATTATGTTCAGTTTTTACTTTGTTTGTATATAATTGATACTCAAAATGGAGGAGAAAATGAGGTCCGTTACAGAGCAATTTTAGTAAACTGTTTTTCATTACATTTTCGTGATTTCACTTTCTCGTTGAGGACACTTTATGCACGTCACGTTTAATTTTAGTAGCAGCGTGAAAGATTATTTACGAGTAAGAACAAAATCTATTTTATCTACAATTTCCATGGTAATTTAATGAATTCTTCGTTCAAGTATAATTCTACTTAATTTAGTAAAATGGAAAATTCTGTTCATTTCATGTAAAAGAATTACAAATGTAATTAAAGGAGTTCCTCTCTGTTCTTTGACGTTTGTTTCTTATTTTTACTTTTACTGTGTATTCTAATATATTTTCCAGTAAATATAAGTCACTCCGTATTTACTATAGACTAAAAGCACTTGTTCACACGATCTTCTTTCTGAGAAATTTAATTAAGTAAAAAATGTAATCTACAGTTCTTTTGGAACAAATTGCTGTCTTCTGGAAGATGCAAAGTGAACCAATAAATTACATATTATAAATATTATTGAATTATATGAAAGGTACAATATTTCATATCATGGAAGATCCTTTCCTTGATTTCTGATCGACGTTTTGGAGTCTTTTGCACTCCCTTTTCACTGGGTTCTATTCTTTAATACCTCAGTAAAATCCTCGAAACTTTTACTTTCTCCTTGGAGTAAAATTTCTGTTCCCCAGTATCTCGTCGAAAGTCCCAAATCTTCCCCCCTCCCCACCCCGTTCCTTTTACAGAATTTCTCTGCTCCGATTGCTCGCCCCGAAGTTTCCAAATCTCTCGCTTTTCCTTTTTTCTTCAACTTCTATTCTCTAATACCTAGCCGACATGGCCGATTTTTACTCGCTCCGCTGGCATTTACGAGATTTCTTTTCCATTAGTACCTCCAAGATCGATATACGTCTCTCGTTCTCTCTACGTGTTCAGCAAGCGATCGTGTATCCAAACAATGATATAAAAAACAAAAGCTACTGTACTTCGTGTAACTCGTACGGAAAACTCACGGTGATCAAACTTCCAAATGCAATTTATCTACGGAATAACTTTCACTTCTGGTTAAAAGAGCTGTTGAATGTTTATTTCAGAAATTTATACACATTAATTTGTTTTCTTATTAGCGAATGCATGAGATTAACGCAGCTTCAAGACAGAAAATCAAACTGATAATATTGAATACCGTAAAGTGATTAGATTTTAATTAAGACGTAAATAATTAAGATGCTATCTTTAATGAAGATACAAAATAAGTAAATAAAAGTTTTGATCCTAATAATTAATCATTTTGTGCCTTTAATTACATCAATAAAGTAATTAATATAAAATTAAATTGATCATCCGAATAAAATAAAATAAAACGAGAATGTCCTATACATAAAACGAAACAATTTTATGTGTCAATATAAGTCCAGGTTAAGTAGTACAACTTTAGCTGTTACTGCTACTTATATGATGTGCCAATTTTACCTCGGTTACAGATTATTTCGTATTAAAGAAAGAAAAGGACGCAAATTTTGTGCATTTTCATACGTGTTGTAAAGTGACAAAAAATGTGATGCTATAATAAGATATTTAAAGCAATTGTAACAATTGTTATGCTATAATAGGATATTTAAAGTAAATGTAAAAATTGTTATTTTTATATTATACAGCAAAATGTTACAAAACCTGCAGATGTTCCCCCAGTTCATGGTATGTCAGTTACGGCTCGATTGAATTTTCCTATATTTGAACGGATCGACTAATTATTCTGTCGATAAACATTTGTTAGTAATATCTCAATGTTTTCTTTATGTTTCGAGAAACAATAACAAAGTGGTTGTTGAATTTCGTCTTGCACAATATTGCATAGTATGTGTACAATGCAAACTATTTACTTTGGTTCCAACTATTATCAAAGTAATTAATGAAAACAGTTATGTACGACGTCCTATTGCGATAACGTTATACACAAGTATTGTAATTATATCTTACACGGTCAATAATACCGATTCAATGATATTTACGGATTTATTTACAAAAAATATTGTGTCAGATAATGATGCCCGTCATACTAACATCACATTTTTATCTATATGAGTTTTTTAGAGATAGAAACGCATTAATTATAAATGGATTTACACATAGGACATTGGGATCACATTTTGGTCCACTCATAACTCAAATAAATCATTAACTTTAGCTCTGTTTTAAATATTCGCACATAAGATTGCATAGACGACACTCGGTTTTGTATTTTATTCCATTCCGCCACGAATAAAAATATTGGAAACAAGACCAATTTAGTATTGTACGACGAACCCGTATGCCTGGATCAGGTGTTACACAATTATCCAATCTTCGCCACAGAATAATTTCCGCAGGTACTTAACTGTCGGTTTATTTTCAGTTACTACGCGTCGACTGCTTTTCCACCTCGTTTGGCTCCGCCGTTGAAGAGACCTCGTTTGATGCCGCCGACTCGATCGCAGCATCCAAAGCAACAGAAACAACAGCCAGCTGCAAACACAGCCAGTGTTCCGGACTTGAACCAGCTGAAAGTCTACAGTGAGTAAACTAGCTTCGATTGGATGCTAAACATTTTGGAACCATGTAAAGAACAGCGCGATTGACCGGAAACACGTATCGACACACCACGGCTTGGTGAAACGTTTCAAGTCTCCCATAAACATATATTTCGATACGTAGTATATGTTAAATAATATTAACTTGTACGTCATTAATATCAGGAGAAAATTCGTCACATATGATTTGATCAGAAATCAACCAGTGATTCCAAACATTCTACGGAAGTTGGATGTATCCTCACGAGCAAACGAGGCTTCCAATAGGGAAAAAAACAGTGTAGAAGAAGGGCCTTCTATCACTTAGTCCCGGGAATTTGTATTAAAATTTATGTCAACTTAACATTCAAAGTAACATTTTTTACGGTACTTGAAATAAATTTACCAAGTGGTAGGAAGCCTTTCTCTTACGCCACTTTTTCCCCTACTAGAAGCCTAGTTTGCTCGTGAGTGTACACCGTGAAAATGACATCATTTCACCTTATGACACGCCGAAATGGCAGCGTTCGTCCGTGTGTAACACCAAAATGGCGTCAACATTTATTTCGGTACTTGAAATAAATTTACCAAGTGGTAGGAGGCCTTTCTCTTACGCCACTTTTTCCCATAGTAGATACCTAGTTTGCTCGTGAGTGTACACCAAAATGGCGTCAACGATTTCAGCTGGTCATACATACATTAGTATTAATGTTGGTCAACCTCCGATTTCAAAATACAGGAAAGGCTCCATAAAAAATGTATAGGATGTTCCTCCTGAGAGTTTTTACGTCATCCCCACAACTGGAGGGAAGGGGGCGTGAAACTTGTCAAGCGCATAATTTATTGCCCCCCCCCCTCCTTGTTTTTGTTGCCAAGGCTCGGTCTTTGGGTAAAGAATAGATTTGTAAGGTGTTGACATTTATCCCCCCCCCCTCCTTGTGTTTGTTGCCAAGGCTCGGTCTTTGGGTAAAGAATAGATTTGTAAGGTGTTGACATGATTTGCAGTGCACCGTGAAAGTTTTCAAGCGGTCTCGACTTTGAAACTCTCACGGAGCCTTTACTGTATTTTAAAATCGAAGATTGACCAACATTAATACATACTAATATATCTTCACTTTGATTTTGAAGCATACAATTTTCTCTTCCACGCGAATGTTAATCTTATATTATATATAAATTATACTGTTGAAAATACTCATGAGCGTAGCCAAGGGGAGGGGGGGAGTGGAACTTGCCTCCCCTAGAGTGGAAAAGGTGGCCTTTACACTACCCTAGAGGAAAAAATATGATCCCCCTTCCATAGGAGAAAAATACCATATTTCTTTAACTAGTATATTGTATATAAAAATAAATCTAAAATCCATTTAAAGTAATATGAAATTTACCTTAATATAACTTTTGCCCCCCTCTCCCAACTGATAACCTGGCTACGCCCATGATCTCGCTCTAACTTTTCGAAATTGTAGTTTCTTACCGGTAACGATTTCCACTCCACCATTGGGGTTTAGTTCCGTTTCATTGTAACTTGATAACACAAGGCTGGAGGACGTTACACGGAAAATCATGACGCGAAGGAAACATATTGTCGACCTGCGTGCAGCGTGGTTTAATTACACGGAAATTGCGACCATGTGTGTGTGTGTGTGTGTGGAGTCGCCCGGGGTTTTAAATATGGGAACGTTGTGCAGAAATGGAGAAGCATGGATGGGGAACGCGTATCGCGGTAAACGTATTTGTCACGGTGCGAGATCGCGACAGTCGAGAACGAGCCGCCATTTGTGTTTTCATTTAAAAAGTTTTCGATTATCGGGCCGGAGTTATACTGGCCCGGGCCGAAAGTTGCGCGGTTAAATAATTACACGGGCTATGTACTGAACAATTTATACACCGGACGAGATTAAAATTTGCTGTAGACGTCACATCCCTCTGCTATTCGGTGAAAGTTATTCAACTGACATCAATCAGGTTCGGATGAATGGCGTTTAATGAAGATTTTATTGTTACCGATTGTGAGTGTAATTTTATTGTGTTTTTGGTTTAACAGGCGAACTTGATTAATTTATTATGACGGTTGGTGTTTCTATACAGGCATTGATTAGAGGTACATTCTGATGTAAACGTTATAAATAATTCTTTTTTAGGGTTTTTATAAAAGAAAACTATAACACATTGAGGAAACGATCCGTCTGAGGTTTATTAATATACAATCTAAGATGTGAAAAGAAATTTTGTATTTTGTTTAATATATATTGCAAAAACCAGCAATGACTGTGGCGTTAAAAAACAAATGCCCAAACGGTGTACCTAAAACCTCTGACCATACAATATATTAATAAATCAGACTGATTGTTTATTCTATATGTCAGAATTTTCCTTTACACAAATCCTAAAAAAAGACGTTTTTTGCAGCGTTTACAGCAGAATGTACCCTTAAGCCTTGTGTGGGCAACTAAAATATTCACGATTATTGAGCAATCGAAATACCCTTTTTCTAAATCCCTTCTTCCTAATTTGTCCTTTTGTCAGAATAAATTAGGTAAACATAGATAACTTTACTTTCATACTTTTGCGAAACTGTTGGGTTTCCCTTCTTATAATATGCCAAGTGCTATTTTAGACAAGAACATAACAAAATTGTGAAAGGAAATTTAGAAATGGATACCCGGTTAACCAGATGCCTACACAAGGGTTAATAATCATTTAAGGGTTTTTTCCTTTATAGAGGAGACACTACATATAGTGTTAAGAATATTCTTTCTTTTCCTTGGTAAATCCATTAGAAGATTTGAATGTATTTTCAAATTTTTGAGAATGACGGAAGTAGCAATATGTATTTGACAACAATTTTTGTTATGACTAATACGTATTTGTACGCTGTCATAGTTTATACGGAACATGTTCTTAAATTCATTAATTAAACCTGAAGAACATATTTAGCTTAATTAAATTAACGGATAAATGTTCATTTCTTCATCAAATGAAAGTATAGCCAATTTATAAATATCTTCTCCTCCTTTATTAGAAGTGTAAGAAGCAGCAATTTCTTCAGTGATTTCTTCTACGTTTTTATAACAATTAACTATAAAAGCGACATTCGTCCCTCGTCAACCGTCAATAACTTCCCACGCACACACATATTCAAATAAAAGGTGGCCCCTTTTACGACTGCATACCAAAAAACGCTTACAGAAAGGTCTAATTGGAAAATGAAGATCACAATTACCTTCGAAATAAACTTAAAAATCTATTTTTAAACAATCATTTCTAAAAAAATTTCATTACTTAACTTCTCAACGAAATTTATTTATCTATATTAACTCATACCTTCGTAACTTATTTATGAAACACATGGGTGTATGAATACTTTTGTTGCCTACTATAGTTATTATCACAACGAAATAACGTTCGAACGAAAACGGAACATAAATCGTTTCGCAATTTCACTGTTCCAGGCAACCCGGATATACTGATCTGCGGCAACTGCAGGGAAATGTTTACAGACCTGGGGGAGCTGCTCGAACACAAACGAAATTACTGCAAGCTGCGGTTTACATGTAAATGTCACACTTTCAACGGAACAGCCCCAAGTACGTACTCGAGAAGAGAAGCTAGAAAGGAAACCCATCCCCCTCCGCGCCTCCTTTCGATAGGCAAGAGCCCACTCAGAGGGATCGAGCGGCCTTCTCGTCGAAAGTAGGCGATTTCGCGGTTTAAAGAAAATTTTTCAATAAAGATCCTGGCTTTCGTTGAAATTCGCGGACGCTGAGCGCGCCAGTGTCGAAATACTGTCGTGGCTCGTTGTTACCTACCTCTCTTCGCCGTCGACTTGTTGAATGGAGAGCAGGTGTAAAAATGAAATTCGGACCGGTTTCGAGTGGTTCCTAACCGGCGTTACGGTTTCCACCTTTCCCGGCCGGAATTGCATTTTAGCATTTTATAGGGGGGAAACGCAGCTGCGTTGCGACGACGGTCCGCTTAGCGGTTTGTTTAGGATCCAGGAATCGAATTCAGGCGAACGGAAATGTTGCACGGATGCCGGATGTATTTGTCTCGTGGACAAAGTTTCGGTAGTTTACGATTTCTATGATTTGATTTTCATAATCGGACAATGGAATTTCCATTGGTGGAATTTTGATAACGTTAGTGGAGTGAAAAATTCATGGGTAGATTTGAAAGTAACGATATACAAGTAAATAATCGATGAGTGTTCGGAGGCCTTGGCACTGACAAGGAAAGGAGGGTGTAACGCTGAGTTTTTAATTAGATTTAGCAGTGATGGAGCTTGGAATAACGAAGCCAATGATATTCGTTTCAGTCGTATATGGTCATTAGTTTGTCAAATATTTAATGTTCTGTACCGAGGAGCCTTCTAACACTCATCGATGATTTACTGTATTGTATTTATTTAAGAAAAGGAAGACCCTAGGCTTGACTCGAACACATGGATCTAGTAACAGGAATATGCAAAGTAAATATTCTAGTCATGTATACAGGGTGTAAGAAAAATGTCGTAGGTCTCTGAAATGGGTCACTCGTGAGGTAATTTAGAACAAGTTTTACCTTAGCAAAAATGTTATCCGAAACTTTGTTAACGAGATATTAACGAAAAATCCCGACCAATCAGAGCGCGAGTCTGCGAGCCGAGCTTCGAATAATATTTTTACTACGGAAAACCTTGTTTCAAATCACAAGTTCAATTTGCATTTATTCTCCTCAATTTCTTAATCATCAAAAATTCAAAATCTCTATTCACACCAGTGTGACGTGTACGTATACTGAGATGGGGTGTAGTTTCTGAGGGTTAATTCGTAGAAATGTATTATTGTATTTGAAAAATATCATGATGCATACGAAGTTACTAATATGATACTAGCCACGTTCGAATTACGGAAAATATCTCAAATAACTGAATTATTTATAGTACGTGTATTGCCAGGGGTATATTTCTATCTGAAATTATAATACTGAGGATATACGGTACTTTCACTGGATCTTACGTTTACAGTAGCGGGGCTGTTAAAAACTGGAATTTTTATGTCTGAAGGGGATTCCACGACAGCACTGCTCTGCGTCTTGTGCAAGGTATCCTTCCCCTCAGCATGGGAATTGATGGTTCACGCTCAAGCAGCTCACATGATCAACATTTACGAGCTGGGAACTCGACCTCAGAGTCCAAGATCTGCGCCCAGCCCCCCGCAGAGTCCAAGCCAGCATCAGAAGGAATCATCACCGTCACCGCAAGACTTTCAGGTATACGTTTCGCATGAACTTCAAAAACATTTACAAAAATAAAAAACACTTTTCTTCTATCTACGGATTTATTCAGTTCGCGAGAAAATAAATCCTTATAGAAGATTTAATTGATTTACCCTTTTAAGAAAATTCAGTATTTTCTGGGAAAATTATTTTCATTATTTTGAGAAATATCGGTGTTCAGAAAAATTATTCTTGCCTTATTTCAAAAGTTTCTTGTTTCACGTTTTATAAATACAGTAAATCTACAGTCTATTAATAATTTAATAAACAGTATCTTTCAGTTGTACGCGAAAGAATAACATTTATTACAGTTTCCATTCAATTATGATAAATATGGTTACAAGACTTCATAAATGCGTTTCAGGAGGTTAAACCTTTCCAAGTTTTGGATGTATCGATTTTGTTGTAGTTAAAATTTTATACATAATTAAGAAAAGTGAATTTAATACACTTTTCCTAATACAAATCCACTCTATAAAATAACGAATAATTAAGAACATTGGTAATCATGAATAGTCGCCATAATTGCTCGGAGAATTTGTTCTCCCGTTTTCGCCGAAGAAACTATAACAAATTTTTAATCGTGCCATTTCACGATGGGTAATGAAAACCAAAACGTGCCCAACTATTAGCCTGTACATTATACGCCCCACGGAAATTGAATTCCTCTAAAGGAAAAGTAATTTCGCTCTGATGTATTTTCTATTTCGTTAGTTTTGTTGCCCAAAAAGTGAAGTGCCCACCGATGACTGAGCAATCTTATCAGAATGGACAGGCCGGCTGAAAGGATCTGAAAATAAAAATAAGACATCGACTTTTCGCGTGGCTTTAATTCCCTGAGATACTTCTCTGACCCTGATCCAAGCAGATTCGATCCAGGCGTGTTTTTCCTTTTTAATTCGTGTAATAGAAGAAGCAAAGAGAACAAAAGGAATACTTCTATAATACTTTCCGTATAGCTTGTTTTACTCTGACAATAAAAATCTCACCTTTGTTCATAATCGCGAGAGATTTATCGGTTTATTCCGTCTGACTCGGGGCGAAGTATACACAATGAATCAGACTTCCTCACTTCAGTGAAAGAAATTAATTGGAAATTATTTGATGGAGTGAACATCGAGAAAACGTTACAGGATGAAGAATCGAACAGCATTTTGAGACTTTCCCTGAATGAATTTCATACGTGTCGATCGTGGACGAAACTGGAAATAATGTGTGTTGAGTCTGAATTGTTAATTCAATATCACCATTTACATTAGTGGAGAATTTAGGAAGCCCTAGTGTATTTTAAATTGACAGAAACTAGCATACTATTTCCAAAACGGTAACGAAAAATAATATTTAGCTAGTTGTCGAAAGTGTTACAAAGTAATTGTGGTTGGATTATTCATCTCTGAGACGAATCTTCTGTAATTAACCCTTTTATTCCCAAATTATTTAAAAATTACCAAAAAAGTATTTTATTGTATTTTTATGCATATTAGATGATATACAAATAATTTACAAGATTAACATTTTGAACCCACCTAAGGCCATTTTTTATTCGTCGCCATTTAATAACTTTTTTAGATTTTTTTACATATTTGTATAATGTTGTTATACATAATAATACCCAACTTTTCTTACCTTTGACCAATAAACCTACTTCAAATATTTGAAGGAAATTAAAGTTTTGTAAGTTTCCATTGTTTTTGTAACAATGCTTAACACCTGAATTCCATCAAATGAAGTAGACCAAGGACAAATAACGTTCTATTTTACCGATAAACTTTTAAATGTACATTCAAATCTGTGCCATGCCATCTATACAAGACTAACTTTATATTCACAGATATGAAAAAATAAATGACACTAATATTTTATTTCGTAATTTAAAACATGTAGCCATATGGCAACAGTGGGTATGAAAGGGTTAAGGGTTAATGTACAGAAAATGGACTCGTGGAAAGCGGAGCCGAGTCATTTCTGACTCATACCAAAATTCCAAATTAACAAAAGTTGTAGCTTGCGTGTTACCGTAAGCGTCAAGTCCGGGTCTCGAGGGACCCACATTCATCATGCGAGGGTTAAACGGTTCCCTGAAAGTTCAGCTTTGCGGAGATGGTGTTCAGAAATTCTTCGCGTTTCGAATCTTAAATATTCACGAATCAAGGAGATTGCAATTCCACGTCTTGTAACAACCTGGCGATGAAAACTTTGCGGATAGAATTTAAACTTCTTTCTTTTTTATCCTTAGAAGGTCTTCTTCTTAATGCAATAACCTGCAAATGACTTCTCAGTTTATTACAACGGTTGATCACTCCTGACGGCGTTACAACGGGACGTAAGAGAACGGTGTATAAAAGACATTATCGCAGGAAATTTTATGTTTACTTGGACAGTAAAAAAATCGCTTAATAAGTTTTGAATAACTCTTTTTATTTTCTGAACAATCGTATCAAGTTTTTAGTTACGGTAACTATATAAAACGTTGTGCAAATGCAACCAAAATTATTTGAAAAGAAAAAACAAATTGCAAGAGGAATCGATGAATATTATTTGAAAGATTGTTATGAAATTAGAGGACATTGTACGAGATGCAGTAGTGAAAAAAAAATAAATTAAAAAAAAATCGAGGAATACTGGTTGAAAAATTGTTATGAAATTAGAGGATATTGTACAAGAAGTAGTAATGACATCGATAAATGCAACCAAAATTAGTTGACAAAAAAAATCAAATTGCAAGAGGAATCGAGGAATACTATTTTGAAAATTTTTATGAAATTGGAGGACATTGTACGAGAAGTAGTAATGACAACGGTATCAGTCAATTTAAACAATATAAGTAAGTATCTGCCGGCGCGGCGCAGAGAAATAAGTAAAAAGTAATAATATCGTCAGGCAGCTCAGTGCTTAAGACAAGGCACCGAACGACCGGAATCGAAACTCCGTAACGAAAGAATGAAATTCTATCGTTGTAGGGAACTACGTTCAACTTGGGAAAATATTACTTCATCATATGTTTCTCTGTCGATATGTCAACTTCAGGGCACAAAGAAGGTATACGGATTGACCTATCGAGAAATGGGGAGCGATTGTTTCGTGTTTCAGGGCTCGAGAGCCTCTTTATTATTTTCACTCTCGGCAATATTAGACACTGAAGCTTGTATTAATTGTGTCTAGACGCTGAATATTTACGAAAATTCACATTTTTACAGACTGATTGCAAAATGAATTTAAAAAAAAATTGTATTAGATCGTACTACATGGAATTGACAATATTCAAATAGTTGATAACACAGGGGAATAGTCAATCTGTTGCTGGAGATTTAAGAGTTGATTTTGGGTAATTTATTTTTTCCTGATTGGCTCTAGTTTTTGAGATATGCATATGTCTTAAATATTTATGCAGAATAAAGAAACAAAACTAAACATAGTAATTTCTATGATTCTGAATTAATTTTATTTATAAAATGTTATAAGAGACAGGATAATTACATAGAAAGTATTAGAAAGTTATAAAAACCTTTTTTTTGTAGGATTTTCTTCTATATTTTTGTCGTGGACAGTCCATTATTATTTTGAAAATCGCAGCTAATTTAGCTAAAACGAAGATGTAATGCGAAATCGGGATCCTCGAGTACTTTGAAACCGATTTTAAATTCCTGACAACGCGAACAAATTTTTTATTGTTTCCCAAGGTAATCAAACGCGATTAGTAAATTCAATATGGTTTAAACTATTTGTTGTATTTAACCAATCTATGTAAGTAAACAATATGGTATCAAAGTTTCGAAAATTTTCTAAAATGAATTTAAAGTAGGTGAAAGTTAACCGAATTAAATTTTGAAGTCCTGCGTTCGTCACATTTACCAGATATTTCCCCAATAAAAAATCGCTTGTCGTGTCATCAAGAGCATCTTATAAGGAACAAAGCACTCCCCAATCAAGAATCGATAGTTGCAGGATTAGAAAAATTATATCTTGTTTCAAGAAAGCCATTAATCGTCACGGTGCATGGTATTTCAATCGAATAAAAATTATTCTATGAATGTATTTTATTATGTTTCGATCTACAGAAACAACAATTTCACAAGATACAACCGAATGCACTATTCATTGATTTTTCTGTTTGAATTAAGATATAACAACTGTATGAAATTGTACGAGACTTTCTATTTTTTTGTATTTTATATATTTAATCATACTATAAATACGTAAATATCCGGAATCCAATTATAACGAACAGAAATTTTATTAAATACTCCACTTTTTAATAGTAATTTCCTTTTCTTGAAGGAAGACTGATTGTATATTGAACTTTGTTTACATTTCTTCAACACGTTGACTGCCACAGTGAAAAAAGCCGTACATAGCCAGACGCACTTTATTTCATTTATTCAGTTATAAACCGTCGAAATTATAATGCCATATTTTTTACGCAAAATTTTGTAACGGTATTTAAATAAACTAACCCACTTTGCAATGTACGTGTTACCTATATTTGGATGACATGGCAGTCAAAATGTTAATGTTGAGATTAATTATTTAACCAAATATATAAATTTGGAGTATTTGTGTTTAATATCAATGATCAGATTATATATACCTACTGTATACATACTATATAGAAAAAAAAACATTAAGTGAATACAATAGAAAGTGGAAAAGGTGTGTTTTGATCTGTCAACCGAATAAAAACGTCTGTAAAAATGTGCAAAAGCGCACAGCTTAACTTATCACCGCCGTAACACGCGTCACTGGAACAGTATTGCTTGCTGCTCCACTATCTCATTACGAAAGAAAGTAAAATAGGTCAATCTGACAGGTTCAACTGACCGTTCGCGTTGGATTCTTGGAATACTTTTAAGCTCCTTTTTCTGTCTATAGATATAAGTCCATCGACATACTATCAATTGAACTGAAAGCCAGAAGTATTTCGAATTAAAGAAATATAAATGAAAAAGAATTTCGATCTGGGATTACATTTATTTTCCAGCGTTTCACTTTTGTGCTCTACAATGAGCTCGGAATAATACTATATTTTACATAAATTACCTAATTATTACATAAATAATTCGTGAACAAATCATATAATTCGCTTTACATTCAAAGAAATGCTTTCAAACAGCTATCTTCAAAGCTTTTCTCCAAAAAGCCCTTTGCTTCATCACTACACCGCGGATTTTATAAATTTCCCATTTAAGCAAATATAGGTACGGGATGGGGCATTAAAATAGAACCCCTCAAATATCTTCGATACCGTTGATGCTACCGAAAAATGTTTCAGGTAAAAATTGAATGGTATTTTTGGAGGTGAACGCGTAAAGGACATAAAGGTCAAACTTTTTTTTTAGATGGAATGTATATATTTTTCAATACATTAATTGATACTGCTCTTTATTCCTTAAAAAAAAGTATTAGACCATTTGTACCGGAAAAACATTAGTTGAATTAACTTATTTTGAAATTAAAATGTCTCCTAATCCAATGATTTTTCTGCATAAATATCTTAATACTTCTGTATAGAAAAAGACACGCTGCATCGACTAATGCATTAAAACATATAGATATAATTCTATTTAAAAAACGAATTTGACCCTCATATGTCTTCTACGCATTCACCTACAAAAAACAACCATTGAACTTTTATTTGAAATATTTTTCAGTATCACCAACAGTATCGTAGATATTCGAGGAAATCGATTTAAATGACTCACCCTTTATAGAACGTGGCGATGCAAAAGTTTCATCAGAAATCAATACAATTTTCGTTATATTTCGGACTCAAATAAATCCTTCAATGGGTTCTACGAGTTTCTTCTTGGTTCTGGCCATTGTAAAATGAACTATGAAAATTTAACTTTTTTAATTTCTGGACAATGAAATAAGTGTAATCAATGGTTGCCCGTTTGTTGAAGCAGGAAACCAAAGCATCCGACTGCGAAGAACGCGCTGAAGAGGAAGATCTGGATGGACCCGAATTAATACCGTCCCCTGACAGTGGAAAATCCACGGACAACGAAGCGGTTCTGTCACCGATTAAAATACGATCTGACGTGAATGGTCTGGACCACGAAGAATGCGACGAGCTGATCCACGTGGAGAACACCACGCAAGCTTGCATCATGCATGCCCTCAGCATTGTGAGTCACTTTAATATATAATTCATTTCTTTTGGTTCCTCTTCTTCGTAATCTCAGACATTCCTTGACAGTTGCACAAATTCATTTACCTTATTATACATGAAAAATAAATTGTTCAATTTATCGTTGGCGTTTGTCGATGTGTTTTGCATTAAATACTTCGTGAAACACATTCCATTTCATATTTATAACTCATCCACAAATCACTATTTATTTCCAATTATAGCGAGGGTATTTCGTATTCTCATTTTAATCCAATATCATGAGAACATCTGAAGGAAATGATTTTTTATTGCAACATTGAAACGTGCAATAGGTAATTTCTCTGGCAAATTTTACAAATCGACGTAAGTTGTTTCATATTTATAAAGCACTTAGAAATTTTGAATTATTTCCATCTAACAAGAGATTGCCAGATTGCAGGAATTACGTGCTATAATTTTTCTAAAAATTCTCTCTAAGCACTGTTGATCAGAACAAAATGCTGATTTGTAGCTGAGTTTTAAATATGAAACAGAATATGTGTAATGTATATTTGCAAGTCTTTAGATGTCTTCGGGTACTCTTTCAGCTTATTTGGAGACTATGCTGTCATTCATTAATTTATAATATTGTTTCAACTAATCAGGTTTTTTTGACATACCTTTTTGCTTTTTGACATGTTTCTCATAATTTCTGTAATTTCACTATAATCTGTATATTTCCTGCTTCTTCCACAGTTCCTTTTTCTTCGATTGTTCTTTTATTTTCCTGTTTTTGTTTCTTCCAAAGCGCTACGCTATATCTTTGAAACCGTACAAACTGAAAAATGTGCAGCTAAAAGCATCGTCGATGTTATAGAATAATTAAATTTAAATTTGTTTCCAAATCCTGCAACTTTGACAAAATTTCATCGAATTTTCGCTGTTGATATTTAGGATCGTAGTTCAGTGTATCCGCAGAATTGAAAACAGACGACATGATGCAGTAATTTCGATTACCTATACGGAAATTTATTCGAAAACAAATTCAGAATAACAGAGTTTCACAGAAATACCGGTCCGATTTCCGTCACGCTCACTGGAAACGTTTGTTTAAATGTAATACTCGGGTTCACGACCATAGTAAATTAAACTCGGAATTCTTTTATTTCATTGAAACGATTTTTATTAATTCCGGAAGGCAAACCGTTTCGGTGATGCTTAATCAATTTGACAATAAAATGAAAGTAACCGGATCGTTTCCCAAGCAGCAGTGGAGTATTGACAGAAGCCTTTGTTGATTTTGCAAACGAATGAAAACTAAATTGTATTGCAAAATGTTCGCGTAAAAAATGTATTTTTTTAAAGAGTTGAACTTAATTCGTGAAAATTATAAGTATTGAGTTCTCCCATTTTGTATCCTTTTATGCTTAATCCAGAATTTAACATATATCTTTCAGTTTTATAGAGAATCATAATCACCATTTATTTTCTATGATTTAATATTGCTTATAATTTTCTTAACAAAGTCATTGTAACTGCAAAGTTTCTTTGATTTTTCATTCATTGACATTTAGAAATCACAATTCGCACATTGACTGTATTCAATCCTCATCATTACACTGTGGATATGTATGCAAATATATTTAGATTTTCATAAACTACTTTACAGAAATTGCAATCAACCATGAATTTCGCTTATTCTCTTGACAATTCTGGATTTTATAAAAAATAAAACCTCGTTGAACTTTATTATACTCTCTACTATACTAAGATTTCGACAACCGCCTGCTCATTATTTAACTCAGTAATGTTATACTACTGAATAGTTATACAATACAATTCAAATCTACAAACTCTAACTTCCATCATCCTATAAAAACAATTGTCGAAATTCTACATATTTTCTAATTGTATCAGAGACAATAGTATATACCACTAATATGTTCAAACGGCCATTTTTTAAGTTCCGAATTTTCGAAAACTTAATTTTTGAGAAAAGAAGAAAGACACTTTGTAAATTAATATAAAATCACTTTCCACTGATTTTATCCACAAACTGTATAATGTTTATGTTTATTATTTGGCCTTTTTAAATACACAGTGAGGAACTGAAATAAATAAATATTGACAAACAAATAAAATCGTGCATTTAATTCACATTCACTGAAATTGCATACTCATTATTTGATGAATAAAACAGAATACACGAAGGTCACAGAGAAAAAACATGATAAGCCATTCTTTCCGATTTTTAAAGAGGAGCAAATTTAAAGTTCAAAACGCTCTCAACCAATTTCGTATTACCAAAACTACGTTTCTATTTTGTTTTGAGAGTAATCACTCTCTTGAACATTCTAAAAATATTTTACAAACTTTTTTACAAAACTTCGTGAACTGATCAAATAATTACTTCTTATGTTACCCTTAAATTGTCATTTAACTTCTTATAGAGGGTGATGAAAATATTATTAAAGCCACTTGAATAATTTGACGAGTTTACTATTTTAACTGTGGTTTGTAGAATTATATAAGCTAACTGTAGTTTTATGTATATTCTATCTGTATTATTTCTACTGAAACATACAGAAAGAGATTCTTCATACTATTGCTTTGATAATTATTTAATCACCCACTATAAATTGACTTTTCAGTATTGAGTTTTTCTTGAACTTATCAAATTATTCTCTTGTTTCACTTGAAAATATCAAATTACTGTGCTGTTCCAGTTGGGCTTGTCATGTTATTTCCTTGCATATACACCTATTTTTACACGGCTTGTATCTTTGGACCTGACAGGTCGTTCTCCTTTCCAACTATATCGTATTAAAGTACTCCCGCTTAGCTACCAGATGACATAAAAATCATAAAATCAACAAAAACAAACTTGTTGTTTTTCCCCCGTGTGTTTATAAGTAACTGTAAAGATCATTGGATTGTAATTCCATATACAAAATACATGCCAATCATGGGGAAGTAAATATAGTACCACTCATAAGTATTAGAACATCTGGACAATATGGAGAAAATGTTATGTTTCGTAAAAATTCTATATTTTTGGCCATTTCTTGTAACTTGACTGTAGCATAAGCGTTGTACATCGAACTTCAACCTTTTGCAATCGAGATGCGACTTTCAGTATATGTATAAGTCAACGCAGCAACTCGAGTGGCGAGTGAAACGCAACAGTAACAATTACTACAATCATAATTTACTTTATTATTATTGACACATCTAACAACATTAAATTGCTTTCATGTACCTCACAATACCGCGACATTTTACTATTTCTGTACATGTCTATTTTATCTCACCGAGTTTCTCTCCAGATAACCACTTGCGTGCAGGTTGGCAGCAGATTGGCAACGGATTGACGACTGATCCTGAAACATAACCTAGATATTGTTGTATGGAACATTAACATACCTAGATTGTGTTGCAGATCGAATTGTTTATAACAGATCCTGCGTCAAATCTGTAACCATTCTGTTTACAAAAGCTTACAACACGCATTGGACAAAATCTAGCTATGTAAGTTGGCTAACTGGGTAGTTCCCTACCAGAAAAAGCTCGAGCAGCTAAATACTTACAGCTAAGTTGCATCGAGTACAAAGTACTAGTCGATTAGCATCCCCTAAACAATATTTATATCAAACTTTCAGCATTGTTTGTAATGCTTTGTAACATTTACTGAATATACGATAAATGTCCTAATACTTACGAACGATAGTACATAACCTATATAACCTACATAAAATTCGATTTCGATTGACATAAAATCAAGATAATAATTTCACGTAATTCACACTGCGTATGGGGATGAAATCCTGGATATAGAGTAACACGCTTAATAATGGGCATGATAATCGATTCCACTGCGGGACAACCGTGAAAACCGATCATTCGACAATCGCTTCCGTCGCAGGTCGGTCGTAAAGCCATCGAAGTGCTGAGTTTCGCGCGCGCGGGCGTCCTGTAACGCGAGACGAAAGCTTCCTTCCCGCGATAAATCACGCCGGGAGGGCCGAATCGTCTGCCGCCTTGCGCCATTTCGGTTTCGTATTCGCCGAGACAATCGTTGCCAAATGGTTCCGCGAAACTGTCGTATCCGCGTAATTGCCGCGTGTAAACGCGTTACCAACCCTTCTGGTGTCTACGATGCACTTCCATCCGACGTCGTAATACACGCTCGAAAAAATTCATTGCGATCACGGGACTTCTTGCCTGCACGGTATTCTCGAACCATTACGCGTTGAAGTGCTTACACTTAATTCTATTTTCACACGGTAGATACACCTCCCGGCCATAAGTCCACCGGACGGCTAATTGTTTTGAGACAAATCGAGACGGAAATGCAATTTCTTGAAGTAATTTCACCTATGTATCTTATTTTTCGGCAATGTAGTGAGTTTTGACATACCTTCGAATATCTTCCGCAGTTATTTAATAATAATTTAGTAGGAGTATTACCTCCCTCGTGCACTAATGAAAAATTGTCGAAATTCAATGTTTCACTACTTTGTTAAAATTCATCAAAATTTGTTTACATGTAAGCAAATTAAAGCTTGAATCTTCTACTTTTCGATGCTTTTGTTCGATTTTATTTAACTCGATTTATAAAGGGTAAAATCTTCTCATATAAAGAAGGTCATATAATTGTAAAAATTTGTTCATATTTGAGAACGAATGTACCTCATATGCAACAATGTTCGCAATTTTGGCATACTGTCAGAAATTATGATCCTTTGCCACCAGAACAAGCCAAACTGCATAAAAAACGGATGGTTTTTTAACAAAGTTAAGTACTTCGTGCATGGCACTGTTCAAATTGTTTTTCGAGCAATGAATTGCAAAACAATAAAGTGAAACAATTAATGGTATTTATTTAACAGGAACAAAGGTAAAGCAATATTACAATTACATAATAAAAAATAAACAATAAATAATGGTATTCATACATGCATATGTGTCACATTGAATTTCGATAATTTTTAACTAGTACACAAGTGAGATATATATACATTCTACCAATAATTTATAATATAGTAATATGTACTTATAACATATAATACACTATAAAAGAATATAGTATAATTTGAAACGTATAATAAATTCGAACGAAGGCACTTTTATAATTTCAGTAATTGTAAAATAAGACATTTTAAATCCGCCATTTTGATGTTTGCTTCAGTTGTTCCAGTGTTAATTATTCTATCAAAAATACAGAAAACACAGACATAGAAACGTCAATTGTTAAAGCCAAGTCCTTTGACTTCAGAACTTTCATTATTTAAACATAAATTCCATCATCCAGACCGTACTTGACCACTCACACGAGACTACATCCAGCTTTCTTCCCCGTCCGTAAAACACCTCTTCAGCCCAGGAACTTTTAATAATTTTCATGGAAACGCGCACGCCCTGTATCCCACACTCACCGACACACGTATATGCGTTTTCTCCGTTACAGGACTCGTCCTTGGAACTCAACTCTGACACGAACTCGAGGGGAAGTTCCGGCCCAGTCATGGCGTTGACTAATGGATCCTTGTCCGCGAAGGAATAAGTCTGGAAAGAATTAGTCATTGGAACACGGTCTCCCCCACCTCCCTTGCCCGGGGGATTCCTGTACCAACGCCACCAACGAGACATATCGATCTCCTTTAAGGATAACACACACCCCACCTGTATATAGCTTAAATGCCTAACAAATAATTCAGGGTTGTCTCATGCCAGATCTGGGACCTATTTTGGCGAATTTAGTATCGATGGATCGCGAACCGTTCCGGGGATTCGAAGAACGGGAACGATTTAAAGCGTTTCGCCTTCATTCGCGTCCATCTTTTATCGATCGATCCTCTGTGTGTCTCTTCCGGTGTTCTATTCTCTTTGGAATCTCTTGACCGGAGAAGGTACCATTTTCAAAGGAGCTTCCACTTAGATGAAAAAAAAAAAAAAAAATAATAAATTCCAATTTCATTCTCACGTTTCGTAAGTCGTGGACGCGTTCGAATGTTATTACCAGCCAAATTCAAGGGACTTCCGGTTACGTTTGAGGAATACGGTAAGGGAGGATTCTAGTCGATCGAGTATCCGGGCGATATCGAACGCTACGAAATTATTGAATGTACACGGTGTTCCTTTTCTGTGATAGAGTATGCACCTTGCTTACTTATCAATATTCGAGGAAATGTTACCGGTACAGACACCTTGATTCGCGTGAAACACGTTTCGGGGAGGGGCTGATTCGTGACGATTCGTCCGAATGCAGGCGGGGACGAGGGAAAAGATTCTCAAGTAGACGAACGCGAGGATTCTTAAGTAGGTTGCAACGTTAATGGATTCTTTTTCCAGCGTCGTTGAGGAATAGGTGAAAACCAGGCCGTCCGTTTGTGGTAGCGTTTTATGAAAATTGCAGGTAGTCTTCTGGTGATGTAACATCGCGCAAAAACGAGAATATTGTTGCAAGTCGAGGAAGGTTGTTTCATTAATCGTACGCTTTTCATAATTCCTTCAAATCTTTACCTTGAGGGTAGTATACTTTCTCTTGTTACTTTTTAAATTACAGTGCACGGAAAGAACGCCATTATGACACAATATAATCGGTATTAATTAAATGAAGATATCTAAAAGAAACTACATTGAATTTTATTTTTTTTCCTCGTAGTACCGGAACTGACTTATTGTATGATTTACATATTAACGTTTTTAGCAAGATTTAACCTGCAATTACACAAGGAGAATTCTGACTTCTGTGTGCAAGCTTCTGAATCAACGATTAATAACGCAAATCATAATTTTCTTATATTTCAGTTTATCAGTATATTATTGTTAATATTTATCACAGTAAAGCTTCCTGTATCCGAACTAATAGGGAGACACAAGTGTTCAAATAAAAGAACGTCCAGATAATAAAACAATCACTTTTCTGATACTAAACTTCATTTATTAAAATACAAATGAAGAAAATTTACAGGTTGCTTAAATATTGTAAAAAATGTGTATTTTCAGCTGTTAAATTATAGAAATTTTTCACATAAAGTATATGTGTGGCTGTAAGAAAAAACGTCGGATGTCACAATTTCAACAAATTTGAGTTTTTGCATCAATTGAACTGTAGAATATAGGATTTATGTATTTATCAGGAAAAATTGCGTGAAAACGAATTTTGTATGTTCAAAAAAATAATGCAATTTAACCGAAGTACACTACTCAATTCATACGCATTGGACAAAACAATCGAAGAAATGAAAACCTTTACACCTTCCCATAAATACTCTAAAGCGTGCACGAGTTCGTCGCTCTCATGGAGAAATTACTGTATTTGCAACAGAATGCATACGGTGTTAGGAGGCAGGCCCGGTTTAAGATTTCTTGTGGCCCAGGGCTATCAAATTTTCGGGATTTGCACAACAAAATACATATAAATCTTAAAAAATTGAAATTTATTTAAAATAAAATTAAATCGCATTAAATCATTGCGAAATAGAAGATTCAGAACGGGGCTCTCCTGATACTCTGTTCGGATAGTAGAACGTTCGTATATCGAGTATTCGGATACGGAAAGTTTAACTGGTAACATCATTCGTTATATTTCAATTAATTTCAATATTTTCAACAGTATCGTTAAATCACAAAATTACTTTCTCCACCGCGAAAAGCAGCCCGTGATCTCCGATCTACAAAGACCACTGTAGTAAATAAATTCGCCTGTTTTCCGTAAATCTCCTAGCTCGGTAATAAAAGTCGATTAGTTCACGGTCGGGCATGTTAATCGGTCAACGCTTAATTGCCGTTTAGAACGTTGTAAATATTCGTGTAACCTTAAGTTAGCGTGATGATGGTGTGGCGTAGCCGTTACGTTCCGTAGGATTAATCGGTGGAATGATATTCCGCGGATCGAAACGCTTTAAATCGTGCAAACGCTCCGTGACTTCCCCCGATGGTTTGTTTTTCACGGATCGCATCGATATATAAATTGGCCGAATTGAGCTGATTTAGCGTCGAGCTGACCGCCACCGATATTATTAAGACACATTTTTTTGATCCGAGTATGTAGTGGGCCGAACACGGTGATAGTGACTGATCGTAACACGAGGATAGAGAAGAGAGGTAATGTTATTTAATTTCCACGGTAGGATAAGATCCATCGTGACGTAAACGACAACAAAAAAATGAAAAGAAAAGAAAACTGATTTCGTAGTATCGACACGTGACAAAAAGAAAAAGAACACAAAAAAAAACAAAATATAAGGTGCGACAATGAAATAAAGCGTGGACTCCCGAGTTTATTGCGATGAGAAATGATTAGCATATCAAACGTGTATTTTTGATGACGTATGAATGCGGTTTGTTTTTTCTTCAGCGAAACAAAGGCAAACATCGTCCGAATTAGCGTAACTGCTGAAACAAAAAAGGAAATAAGAAAATATGAAAAAATTACGAAATAAAAATTACGAATCTGGTTACCGGTTGTTGTTTGTTTTTTTTTTCTTAATTATACATATTATTACTGGTTACCGGTAACAACTGGCTCCGTCTGACGATGTTCAGAGATAATGATGTGTTGAACCTCCGATTGGATACGCGAGGTTATTCGGTCGAGCGATACTTCGATATTGCTCGTACGTCGCGAGTATATTTTTCGGGATAACTTTGGATCGCCGATTCGATGGAGTTTTCGAATTAAGAGTGGACACGTTCTTCACACCATTATTCATTATCAAACTGCATATTAACGTACCGTATTTTAAATGCAGTGTCGTTTAGATTGGTGGAATTCAGTTGAAACGTGAAGATCGCTAAACCAGAGATTGTATCTTTTAAATACCCAGATAATACACGAAAGAATACAATGTGACCTCTGAGAAAGGTCGACGAATTTAAGGGGCTTTAATACTTATTAGGTTATTTTTATTAAATTTTAAAACGGTGTCTTAAAATATTTAATTACATTGTTTTAGGTAATGTTATATCTTGATGTTTCACAAATATTCTATTTTTAATATTACGAATATCGTAGGTACCTGTAAATATATTCTTTGTGCAATTTTTATTGATTTTAGGGAACACTGTATGCCTCGAAAATTTTCAATACCTTGTTTGAATCACTTCAAGCGGAAAGAAAGAGCGATACGCTTGAAAGAAATGTAACAAAATGGCGGACGCGACACTAATCTCGATCGAAAGTGAAACGATTCCACTAATTAAAATTTCACTGCAGCTGCTAAAGGTCTCCGAAAAATTTGAGAGTAGCCTCGTTTTCTATGGATCCTCGCATTTTAAGGAAGGATATTAAAATTCGTGTCACTACTTCCACGAATTTTATTCGTTAATTTCTTCTATAAACTATTTAAACTTATTTTAGGCGTTGATTACGACTACGATTATTCCCATTGTACGAAAACCCGAAACTGTATTACCACCTGTATTTATTTCTGTTCCGTTCATCGCACGTAGAATACACTTCGAGCGCGAAGTGTAACAGTAGTAGCTGATTACAATGGAAAAGAAACACGTTCTATCATAGTTTGATAACCGCTTTCCCGTTCCATTCTAACCGTGGATATTATCGACGATTATTCGACCAGTTGCTTCCGTCTCATTGAAGGAATTGCTTGTTCAGTCGAACGGCAACCATGTCATCCGATGACGTATATGCGGCGAGATTAAATTAATTTGTAAATTATGTATCATTGAACGTCATGAACTATTTTTCCCTCTAAATGTCGAATGTATTTATCCGGACTTCCGAGAGTTAAGGCATGAAAAAAAAAACTCTTCGAGTCCATTTCTCGAAGATCAATGATAATTAGACGGCATAGCGAAGGGAGAACTAGGGCTGCTAATATCCGTTTGTCCGAGTTCCATTGTTTAAATTTTTTGCTTACGTACAGAGTAATGTAAAAAAAATGGATCGAAAATTTAGAGACAACAAACATCACGAAAATATAAGAAAATATTAAACGAAACATTCAAACCACTTTTCGTCCATTTTCCTCAGCCCTAAATACCGCTGATCTTTTCGATCTTCTTTTCTATATTATCTTTTGAAGAATGTCTGTAACGATGTGTGTGGATTTCGTTAAGGGCAATGTGTGACTAATATAAAGCATCGCCAATATTTGCGTACCTTGAAACAACAAGTTACAGAGATGATTTCTTTAATATATTGATTTAAATTTTGTTGGGGATTATACATGATGGACATTAAAAACAAAATAATTTAAAAGGTGTACCACGCTCTAGTACTTTAGGTTTTCCAAATTATATTTCTTTGTGTACTCTGAAGCTGAAGAATGACGAGAGTTTGAGGTTTCAAGGTACAAAAAATCAGATAGTAACACATACCATTAAACATTTCATACTTCTATTTTATAAGAAGCACCAGTTTACAGGATCGTATAAAGCAGTTACACTAATGTATTTATTATCGTAGCCGTGTATACATCATTTACATGAATTATTCTGTACGTCTATTATTGTAACATTGTAATATAATTATCATAATAGCGACGACATGCACCAGGCGAATGTGGTGGATCGAAAAAATGAACTTATAAGGGTGCTATATTTGTAAGTACCTATACATTATTAAAAATTTCATTTTGTTGCTTTTGCAGATTCGAGTTTATTATGAATGCGTGAACATCCATAGTTTACAGTTACCAATGCGATACGGATGCGTGTATTTTTACTATTGTTTATTGTCGTTCGAAGCCGCGTGTATTTTACACGAAACAACACGAAAGAACTCTAGCACAGATCCGTCGATAATCCAGCAAGTGTAATTCGGAATGTACAATATTTACGGATAATTCCGGCAGCCCTAGAGCGATTTGTAATTAAATTATATTGATCTCTCCTCTTCAATGGGACTCTCGATGTAACGTACTTATGCTTTTTTACGTTCGTGGGTGAACAAAAATCCCCAAACTGAACCACATTCGTGTCAGAATGACAGTGTACCTTGTTCGAGTAAAATCTGGCGATCTCGTAAGAAGATTCGAATTATTAATAATGTTTTTATTATTTCTGAAAGTTCAAGGGAATCACGAACCACTTCTTTGTGTGCATAACAAGAAAGAAATATATAATCTTTGTTTGTAAAAGTCAGCGGCTCGAAATAAATTTCAAATACACTACATATTATATATAATAGATTTATAAAATTCCTAGGTAAACTCCAGGTTTTGAGGGAGACCCGGTTTCGATATCTTTGTCATCTCCGAAACGATTGGTTCTTCACTTATAATATGAACATTTATTTATGATCAGAATTACATAATATAACAAGCAGAATAGAGTTCTGAGTTCTTGATTATTTCTCTTAATCAATAAATTAAAAATTTCTTTTCTTGAATTTTGTTATTTTCTTAAACACGATCTGCTAAATTCTGTCATCAGTGGCTGCAATAATTCTGGATGAACGACTATCCGAAAAAAAAAATCGATCCAGATTTAATCCAATTATTTTTCTTTTTTATATTTATTCGAACGCTCTCCACGAGTCCCGGCAATTACGTTCGAATTACATTCGACAAACCGACTGAGCTGCGGTTAGACGAGCGTTAAATCAGTCGTGTCGAACAGGGCAGATAGTTCGCCGAACATTTTGAAAAAAGTCACGAAGCTACCGATCGCGATAAAAAAAGGCAAAGAGGGTGGAATCTTACTTGACGAAGAAATACGTTACCGTACCCTTAACGATGTGTAGATTAAGCTAATCATTTACTAAAGAGCATATCTTCCGAGTGGTCTATATAGTTTATCCGTATCACCGAGTATAATCCGTAAAATTACAATGCAACCGATGGAGAGAAAATGGTGGGAAACCACGAGATCACGGAAACGATACTGTCGATCGAGGGTGTTCTCGAGAGACCGGAGAACCACGACCGCTTTTCTTCCTGCGTTCTTTCGTCGTACGGAAACAAAGAGGATCTACATTTATCTATGTTAAGTTACGGTTAGATTTTAGAAGCGAGAGTTATTTGTTCTATATAGTCCTAAAAAAATATATATATATATATTATATATATGAACAATGTTTTATGGATCATTATTATCTAAATAAAGTACATTACGTCTTTTAATGGGCTTCTCGGTGATTGATCGCTGATCACTACGTCTACATGTGAATATCCGTGAGTAAAAAGATATACAGTAAATCGTCGATGAGTGTTCGAAGACTCCTCGGCATTAAACATTAAATATTTCATAAACTAATGACCATATGCGGCTGAAACAAATATCATTGGCTTCAGAATTCCAAGCTCTATCACTGTGCTAAACATCGTTAAAAAGGCAGTGTTACACCTGGGGACTTGTTCTTGTCAGTGCCGAGAAGCCTTCGAACACTCATCGTGGATTTACTGTAATCGTTTCGAGACATTCAGTACGATGTGCCTTCGGTGGTATTACAGACCTGAAATGGCAAAATATGTAACCGTAGATGAGTCTGATTATTGTTCTTTCTATTTATATATAATTAAACTTTATGTGTTGTGATTAACTGATCGCTGTAGATATTTTCATTTTAATTTCTAGTGAATCTCGTCGAAGAATTAACGTTTCTTTCAGTTCCTGTTGACGTTACTTTTAATTTTTTTAGTGGACAGGTTGAATTCCAATTAAAAACCCCTAGAATGACAATATTAAATTACTGTTTCTACGAGTAACAGTTTCTGCGTTTTACACCGAAACGATTGATTCCCGACGTCACGTTGATTAAGCGCCTTTAATTCCTTTATGGTAAATGGTAAGTACTGTATTCTCTAAAAATGGAGAAGACAATTTTTATTACTCATGGGACACAGTTACCACTCCATACTAGATAAAAGAACAATCTCATTATTGAAACTGAACTCTACACCATAATGTATACGTATTTACATTCGTCATTTCGATTGAAATTGTCGTTAATATTTACAATAAGGGAGCCACTTCTTATTTCAATGATTTTTGAACACGTTGTCAAGATCATCACCCTGAATAGTATTGTGAAGGTTCTATATGGGTGTCGCTATTTGTAAAAAAGTTATTATCAAAAAAAGTTCAGTATCGTACTTTAGTATAATAGTATCGATAAGTAAATGACATAAGTTTCATTTATCAATTGTTGTTTATTAAAAAGCTATTAAGAGAACAATAACACTTTCTTCGTGACCTGTCTCTAACTTTGAATGACTTTCTTTTTTTGAAGTATCTTTACCCAACTCTGAATGACTCGTTTTTCTTGAACTTTCTCTAACCACTTCTGAATGACTTTTTTTCATAGTATTAGAAGTATTATACTGATCGGAGTAGATTAGATACAGTTATCTTTGATAATTTGTTTACAAACCGTGATCACCAGCTAAAACCTTTACAATACTACTCGGGATGACCTTGACAACATATTATAAAATCATCGAAATCAGAGGTAGCGCCCTTACTGTAAATATTTACCAAAATTGTGTTTCAAAAAATCCTGGATATTTCATCCTTTCGCTGACTTAGAATCTCGCATCTTTACCCGCGGCTTTCATCTGCAGTTTCACAAAAGCGGAAAGATCGCAATGTTTGCGAAACAACGCGAAGTAGCCGTGCTAACTACTGAAACACGAAGAGGGGAACGCCTCTAGAAGGGGATAAACCGGCGTTTTCTTGCGTCACTATAGTCGCACGCCAGCTTCTGTCACCTCAGTCGACGGTTTCAAGGAATGCTCAGCCCCCCACAGGCCAGGGGAAGGGGGAGGGAGTGGCTCGTTATACAAAAATTTCACGACCCAGTGCCCTCAGCCCCCGTCAAATGAGCCCTTGTCTCAACTCTCGAGCCCACGGGTAATGAGTCTGTTGTTTCTCCAATTAGACCGAACGCGGCCACAGGAAATAGGTATAAGCGAAAAGGAACTTGGGCACGATACTTGCGCCGCTCTACGTGCTAAGTGTTCTACTTCATTCCAACCAAATCCTCGAGCCTCCCTTTTCCCGTTCTCAAGCCACTCTCGCTTTCGCGCAGGCGGCTACGTGAAAACGAAGGAAAAACTAAAGTGGTAGACGGTTGGAAGAGCCGCGGGACCAAACAATACGTATGTATGAATGTCGTTTCAACATGGCGGCAGGGGTACATTCACGGGGACTTCTTTTACGTAAACGTGCGCCAGCTGCATCACGCCCCCTGGTAGGCTCATTTGTGTCGAGAACCTTCCGACACGTGCCGTATACGTTCTGTCATAGTTTGATACCGTTTTCTCGTTCGATTCTATCGGGTTGTTCGGTAAGTAATTTCGTTTTTTGCATGGAAATGAAAGTATCTTGAAAAAACTTTTCTCATAATTTTCTTCACTTTTCAAACATTTTTTGAAACACGATGAAACTTTCGAGGTTAATTTTTAACCCCGAAAATATAATCTAGAATGTTCGAACTTCATCTCGGAACATTTTGCGACCTAAATTAACAAGTAGTCTTTAGACAACAAATGATTGAATATTGGCTTGGATCAAATTGACCCAATGTGACAACTACGTTTGAAAAAGGCGTGACAACGGAGGATTAAAGGAGAAAGTGTTACGTTGTACACTTTTGTTACACCCTGTATAGCAATTAGTTTATGAAATAATTAATGTTCAGTGACGAAGAACCTTCCAACACTCATCGAGGATTTACTGTATAGCTTTTTGTACCTCATTCAACGAATACAGTTAATAACTACAAACAAACAAAAGAGTGGTGATGATCAAATAGGTGGGACAGGGACAGATACAGTTTCCAACCAATAGCTAAGCTTAGTACGCGAATGTTTTGGTTATTTTTTCTGACTCATCTCGTTGAACAGACAATAGGTATTTTATTTGTATAAGAACCACCATTCGTAAGATGTCAAGCAATCCGGTAAGCAACGATTATTAGAAAATATTAACGATTAAGAAAGTGCTTGTTGTCAAAAAATTTATACAGTTTAAAATTTTAAATCAATTTTAAAATTTTATTGATATACAATACAGTAGAATTGTGCATCGAATCGCGAGGATTACGTGATTAATGGATCGAAGCTTATTTCGAAGAGACATATTGGTGAATCACTTTCATAGCCTCAAATGTCTCAGCTCCGACGGCTTTGATCTCAGAAGGAGGTAACAGGAAACCGGAAGTTCCTCCGGGTAGTTCATAGGTGTACGACAAACTGATACCGGCTTTACCCAAAGCCCAGTCGTCGCCACCTCCGGCAGCAGGATCTAATTATTTCATAAAAAAAAACAAAACAATTAATCATCTTGAGCATTAGCAGAGAGGATTGTTTGTAAAGGAAGCTGAAAGCAAAGAGGAAAATGATGCTTTGGAAAAAGAATATCACGAATGTTCATTCGAACGTTCCTTCTAGGGTCTTCGTAAGAAATTTGTACTTACATGACTCAAGAACCTTCATATTTTTTAATACTTTGAGACTAAAATATAATAGTATCTTTAAGTAGATCATTCTTCGTTTACAAGGAAAAGTCAGGGAAATCTACTTATTATTCAATATAATACGATAAGTTTAATTGTTTCTCCTGTCTGCCTTGTTTGCCTATACAGGGTGTCCCCAAAATCGTAGTACAACCGGCCGGGTGGTGATTTTGCATACAACACTAAGTCGAAAAAAAAGGCATAAAATTACATCGGATGATGGTTTGTTTTCAAGATAATCAAAATTGAAAATTTGTTGAATAGACGGACTGGTTAACGTGTCTGTTCATTACAGGTCGTTTCTACTCATTTCTAGCACAGATACACGTGATTTAGATGAACTTTCAAACTCATTTTTTCCGAAAACTAAGCCTTAAATGAAAAAATGTTATCTTTATTTCGACTTATTTTTGCATGTAGAATCTCCACCTGACTGGATATACCACGATTTCAGGAACACCCTGTATAATCATGATTGTCATTAGAATGTAAACATCCAAAAAGCTAAAAGAACTATAACTAATAATATCATCTAATTTATAATTTTATAAATAACCTCTATAATTAGTATTTACATATACGATTAATTGTTACTTACAAAGGTGGTTAGCGGATGTACCGTATGTGTACTTGGTCTTGCGGAAGGTGGCAATTGCCTGTGCACAACGGCTGGCAAGATTTCTCTAAAAATGTTGAGTTGACGTAATAGTTAATAGAACAATGGAATATAGAATTAGAATAATGGACACAAAAGATACGATAGAAATTCGTCAGAAACTTTTACTCACCAACTCTGGTTCGTTAGAGGGCACTTTAGACGTGAAACCCCATGGATAGAGAATGTACTAAAAGAAATATTTTTAATTTCTCGTTGTAAAAGAAACAAACGGTGTGCAAAAATTAAATGAATAAACGTTAGCGATGCAACGTGCCAGGGCCCTAATTTTCCGGGTAATTTTCGCGAAACGACAGAATTTGTAATTCTCTGGATTCTCGTGTACTTAGGAATTTTTTCGACATCACCGCTGTAAAAGCTTCCAACGCGATAATACGTGACCCGCGAACGAAACCGGTAAACTTGAAACGTTTGTATAATGCATTCAGGGCAATTAACAGATTATATTACCGTAGAAAAGTTTACATGAACGATGAAAGTGCTCTGTGAAATGTTTAATAAATTATTCAAATATCGTGTATGGAATTTCGGAAAAGTAGATTATTACCTGGCCGTATGAGTGGAACGTGATGTACGCTTTAATATTCTGTTTACGCGCCACGATGAAGTCTCTCATGTGTTGCATTTCCAGTTCGGAAAATGGCTTCGGTCCGGCGTAAGTATCGCTGCATGGATTGGAAGAAGCACCAGTCGCTGTAAACAAATAAAACATGTTTTTATTCGTCTTTGTTTCGTCTTTTGTCGTCACCCACCCTGTAGAATATAAATGTTCACGCAAATTTTTGGTTTCACACAGTATGCGTTTGAAACTGTAATTAATGTAAAATTCATTTTCCCGATGTGAGGTTTTATAAGTGAAATAAAAAATAAAGTTAAATACTCTTACCAGTCTAATAATAAAATTATTTAGAAGATGCTCGATACAATTTTCTAAAAGGTGAAACCCCATTCTTTGCAGGCCACGAAAAATTGCTCAAAATAAAATAAAGACGAATGTGGCATTTTTAAGTTCAGAACATATACAGGGTGTCCGACCTAACGTGAGCACCTTAACTATCTTACTTGCATTTGATTTGAACTTCGATACATTTTTGCACTAATTCCTCCATCGTAATTATTTTATTATTTAAATCTACTATCTTACATTTTTGGATTTTTCGTATTCAAGTTCACATGAAGGTCATACTATTTAGGTCGTTGGATTCTCCTTGACTCAACTATTACACCACGATGACAAAAATATGTAGACCGATTTAAAAAATATATCAATGGCCTTGAAATTTCGAAAAACATTACCTCGAGGAAACAATTTTTGCTTATCATAGTATTTGCTATAATGCTTTCCTCTCGCATTTTTTTGTCCTTTCAAAAACAAGTGAGATATTGAAGGTGCTCACGTTAGGTGGGTCACCCTGTATAAGTCTATTGCGAGATATATCTATAAATGTTGTGGTCTGCAAAGTATATTTGTTAGATGAACATATCGTCCAGAAGAAAATCTATTTATTTAATATTGAATTAAGTAAAAGGAACGAGTACCGTCTTCTCAAGTACAAATTTCTTTTGGTAAACTTATCAAGCATAGAGCCTGTTCGCCCAATGAACAGAATAAGAATAATACCGACGAAGGCGATGCTAATCTTTCAAGCGAGAAACAGCAACAAGGATAATTCAACGAAAATTTTTAGAACACAAATTCTCTCGCGAGAATTCTAATACTGGGAAGTGCTCGCACGAATTTCCCGGGGCAGACAACTTTCAAATGACACGTCGAATTGGGAATCTCAATTTGGAGACTCGCAACTCTAGCGTGGCTATCTGCTCATCGAATTTCGTGAATTTATTTCCTTGAAATTCCGTAGAAACGAAAAATTACAGCCACGAGACTGCTCATACAAGTTATGAGTAAAAGTATCGATACATTGACGGTATCGATTTATCCTGTTACGTGTTACATGATATCTCGTATAAATGCCGAATCGTATGTTAAATTTTATAACTATTACAGTATACAATTAAAAGGTTTAAAATTTCGACAAAGATTCAACTCTTTTAAACGTCTTAATATTTAAAGGCTTGTTTCAGTTGAACGAAATCTCCATCGAAAATTCCGTAAAACAAAAAGTGTCGAGCGTAAACGAAAGGTGGAATTGTCATAGTGATGTCGAGAATCGCGTCGACATCCGGTAACGTCGGCAAATAACTCCGAGTTCTCAAAAGTCAGTCTGTTAAAGCCCGAATGAAGAGACCTGGAGGAGTAACAACCGTGCGGTAACGAGCAAGTTTTTATCACGCTCAATCATAACTTCAATGAACACGCCGAGCAACTGCTCTCCAAAGAAAAGTTGGAGTGCAATAGTCGAGTTAACCGTGACACAGTACTCTGCGTAGAATACGGGGCTGGGTGTGTTAGTTAACGACTCCCGTCCCTCCCTCAACGAATCGTCTATGATGGAAATTTTCGATTGCCTTTCGACGATTACTATTTCGTCTGGATCGATCTCATGAAATCAAGTTCATCGCCGGTAACATTTATGAAAAGTCTAAAATTTCAACGAAATGAAAAATAACAAAGTGTTGTTTAAAAACATATTCATTCTCATGACCTCATTTATGAGTAAATAATTCACCCCCTCCCCCCCAGTGGTGGGGATAACGCTTGGACAATAATCGCATGTCAACAAAGAGTCAATAATCGCGGGGACTCTGTAACCTGATTCCGAACGGCAGTACTCACCGCAAAACTACTTTCCTAAAAGTGCTTATCGGACATTGGTTGTAACTTTCATAAAAATGAATATTTTTACACAAAGAAATTGCTGAATCTTCTTCAAACGTTACCCTTTAAAATAGAAAAAGTTTTGTGCCAATATGTACTTAAACTTTTTCAAACAAATTGTCAAATATTCGTTATATTTCGGCCTCGTCACCAGGTATAACCCCTTAATGACACAATCAAGTGAAGACTAAATAATTTTAAACAATGTATTCCCCCTATAGACAGATTTTAATGTATTTAGATGGCCGGTTAAAATTTATATCGATATCGAAGCCTACTTTTATGACCTTATTTCTTCCAAAAATATTTTTGCTGTACGTCCACCTAGACTTTGATAATTGAAATTAACGTTGTTTAATTTCGATCATCGTCCGATTAATCGATAAGCGTCTCAAGTATGTCGTTGATGAATTATTATCAGTGGTCTCGTTGTCTGATTGATGCGGTCCGCAATCGCGATCCGGAAATATTAATTTATGTTTGTAATAGAAATGCCCGTTGTTCTCGAGTTCGGTCCGCGACGATAAAAGCGAGCGTCACGCGAGTGTACGTAGACAGTTTTTAATCGATCGATGTGCAAACAGATTAAATTATCAAACGACAATCTGTCCTTTCTTCGAACACAATGTCTCCAGGCTCGTGGCAACCGTGATGGCTACGTTCACGTGACTGTAAATGAAATCAAAGACTTACTCATCCATTCCATATCGTAATTCCTGTTCCCATCGACACCACGACACAACGAACCACTGTTTACAGACCTTGTCTTTCTCCAGAGACGATTCTGAAATGCAAGTTCGAAAGAATACTTAGCAGTATTTTGAACGTCAGTAAAATATTCTCTTAAATACAAAGAAACAAAAGCTAATCAAATAATTATACTTTTGGAAGTGGTAGTTTGGAAACTAAAAGATCTACTTTATATCTATCAATTATTTCATGCTTTATAATGATTAAACTGCAACTTTTATATATTTATTTTGAACAAAATTTTAAATTTACTCTCATCTCTATTTTTGTAAGTTCAGTACAAAAAACAATAAATAGAATGAAACCGTTTCTTTAAATACAAATAATTATAGAGCCAATAGAGGGCTAATATTACGATTATGAATCCAGATAATAAATAAAATATAATTACCGATGATTTTGTATGCGTGAACTGATAGCCATCGGGGTTCAGAACTGGAAGGATGTACCAGTCGATATTTTCCAAGAGATTTCTATTCTGACTTGCCACTAACTGATCTACTATGTAGAGTGACGTAATAGGAGCAATCCATTCCCTAGCATGAATTCCAGCATCGATGAAAATTGCAGGCTTATTATTACCACCGGTTGACAGTTTTAGAACTCTCATTTGTCGTTTTTCATAGGACGCTCCTATGTTAATTAACGAGGCAATGTTACCGTTACTTCTCACCACATAATCGAGGTATTGATTCACCTGTTAACGATCCGAACAAATTGATTCCAAATTTCAGACAAATTTTCAAACGTTTTTTTATATATAACATGTATGTAACTCTAATTTAAAAAAACAGAGAACACCTATAAGATAAATTGAAATTGTGCACGAAATGTGTGCAAAACGAGAAACAAATTAACAAGTACTTCGCTGTTCTCAAAAAAGAAAGGAATTACTCTTTTATGTAAAGAAATTAGTGCTCACTTCGTCGTTATTAGGGTAATAAGTGAAGGACAATTTTCCAGACGCGTCATAATCTTGAAACAGTGACTGCAATCCACGCTCAACTTGTTGCGTGACGTATTCTTCCGTGACTGCTTCTTGAACGTTTTCGATCATGACCGTATAATTCATGCCATTTTCCATCAGGAGATTCTTAAAGCTTTCTACTTTGTCCGCCGTCACCAAGACATTCGCGAAACTTTCGGTTGTTTGCAGAAAATCGAAACCGGGAACGTCCAAAAAATTTTTCAACAGTATAAATTGCTCCGGTGTGTTATAGTAAACAGAGAGGCTTTGCATCCTGTCAATTGTGGAAACGAATTATATTTTTGTTTGAAAATCAACGCTGACGGCTAATTTTGAAATAATAAAAACATACTAGATTTTTTAGATAAATTGAAGAAGTATAATTTCTTATTTAAAAAACTTTTAAAAAACTTGAGAGTATATAGTCATACTTTTCTTAAATTTAACAAGACAGTTTCTTTAACATTACAGTTTGAAATCAACCCTTTCGTTACAGGGAAATTGTACGGGACAATTGAGGAGCAAGTTTACACTTTGCTGCAAACAGTATAACATTTGCTTCGTTAGCGCATTTAACTACTTAACTCAATTAAATGTAATTAAATTTTTAGTTAATGCGAAAATTTAACGGGTGACTATAATCACATTTATTAAACAGTTAGCACCCGACGTTATGTGACTGTAGTCGTCTTTAGTAACGAAAGGGTTAACAATTAAATCCAAACTATGCTTTTACATAATACCCAATACTGAATAACAAATGCTAACTCCTACAAAAACCATAGTAATTATTAATATCATTCTCATATTTAAATAGAAGATTATTACCAGCTTAAAGTTTACAAATAAAAAAGTCCTTAATACACTAAGGGAAAAACGAAAAGTAATATATAGAACTGTTTAAACAATTCCGCTTTTAATTAAGTAATAAAAAGAAAACATACCCCTCTAAGGGTGGAAGCACCTCTTCGTCAACGGCGAAGACAGCCGCGACGCAGATTGTCGCGATTAAAAAGATACGCATGATGATGCTGCTGTTCACCGTTTCGATGTAAACTTAACCGTTCTAATCTCAGTCTTTATATACATCATATCATATCTATTCCCACCGATATCTATTTTATTTACGTATCTCCAAATCATTCCTGAAACTTGAAATAATCAAGATGATTACTGGTTCATCACGTTCGACGGCACAGACCGATTGGAGAATCCACAGAAAAGGCATTGCTCTTGTGAAATCGCTGTTCACGCTGATCGAAATGAGATTATTGGGTAAAAGGTGTTCTTATCGCGATAAATAGCTTTGAAGACAAATTATTGATTTGTCTTCGATTCTGGAGAAGAAAAAAACAGCAGCTTTTAAGTGCAGCATGTTATTGTCATTGAAGACGATACATCGATAAGCTTGTGAATTATACTTTTTCCTTAATTACGATATATCGATCTCTATGTTTCAATTAATATTTTCGCAAAGACCATTTTGTTTCGTAATTCCACTTAGCAAATGATGATACACAGATAATTTCGCCTGAGCAGTCAAACGTAAGGTACATTTTGGAATACTATGTTAACTATGTATCTCTCTTTTACAAGTTGTAAATTACTCAGTAATGGTTTGCAAATAAACCTAAATGATGGTCAGTGATTAGTATTTCCTAACTCACTTTATTAATCAATTGTTAAAATTTAAAATAATTGAAGTACAACCATTGTTGTAAATATTCTATAATGATATTCTATGATGTACTTACTTTATAGGGATTAACATTTAATGCATAAACTTATATAATGAATTATAGTTTATTATTTTGTCCTATACACTTTCATTTAAATTATAAACAGTAAAATAAACATAAATAAGGCACAGTAGGCAGCGAATAATACTATATACATAGGATTCGTTTCATAAAAACTTAAATTTTTTTATACGTTCTGTGCAATATATAAATTGAATACTTTGTAGGAAATGTTTAAATAATTTTTACAGAAATATAAACAAATATTATAATATAATAAAGTAATTACCATTTAGTTGTACATCAGTTTGTAGCATACAAAAATTCTTATAAACATTAAAAATAGTAAAAAAGTATTTTACTTTACTCTTAAATCGATACTTTGTCAAAAATTTTATACACTAGACCTGTCCCAGACATACATATCGCTCAAAGTTATCCTTTGTTGAGGAATTACATTACGAACCTGTTAAAAAAAAGTGAATGAAAAATTAGTAGAATAAATAACATTGTTTACAAATAGTAATTCTATTTTATAAAATACCTTCTCAAATTTTTTGTAATTACAACTAACACGAAGGAATGACGAAATATTTCCTATCAAATTATTCTGATTATTACAGCCTCCCTAAAAATTTGAATTAAAAATTATTCGTCTACATTAACACTTTATTACGAAAATTTTAAAGTAGTAATCTTACAATACAGGATGACTCTATTGTATTTTCCGTGACTGTAGTTTCCGAACAACGTCTTTTTCTAGTAGATGTAAGAAACTCTACTTCATCATCGTATTCATTAGGACGTTTATTGGTTTTCGTTAATCTTTCAACGTTTTGCTCCATTTTTTGTGACGGTAATTTCGACATATTTTTATAAACTTTTGTAGACGAAAGAATATTATGTTTTTGCTGAATAATTACATCTTCTATTTCTGGACTTTTTTTTCTTAGACTACCAGTGTGAAGTAATTTATCCAATTTTTCTTGACTTAAAATATTATTGAAATTTTTATTATATTTCAACTGTACACTTTCCACTTTATCATCTTCTTCGTCACTTAAATCAATTACTTCATGAAATTGAGTTCCTTTATTCACTACCACTGATTCTTTCAGGAGTTCAATATCTGGTGAGTTTGTGCTTCCTTTTCTGAGACATGGAGTTTCCTTTCTAGAATATTGTGTATGATTTTGTGTCTTATCTGATGAAGAAGAATCAATTGTTTCTGGAATACAGCTTGTAATCTTTTGTTTATGTACATCTTTTACTTTCTGTATAATTCCTTCTTTTTCTTTTCTTAGACATGGTGTCTCCTTTCCAGAATATTGTGTATCCTTTTGTGTCTCACTTCTTGAAGATGAATCAATTGTTTCTGGGATACATTTTGTAGTCTGTTGTGTATGTACATCTTTTACCTGCTGTACAGTTCCTTCTTTTTCTTTTCTTAGACAAGGTGTCTCCTTTCCAGAATATTGTGTATCCTTTTGTGTCTCACTTCTTGAAGATGAATCAATTGTTTCTGGGATACATTTTGTAGTCTGTTGTGTATGTACATCTTTTACCTGCTGTACAGTTCCTTCTTTTTCTTTTCTTAGACATGGTGTCTCCTTTCTAGAATATTGCATATCCTTTTGTGTCTCACTTGTTGAAGATGAATCAATTGTTTCTGGGATACATTTTGTAGTCTTTTGTGTATGTATATCTTTTACCTTCTGTATAGTTCCTTCTTTTTCTTTTCTTAGACATAGTGCCTCCTTTCTAGAATATTGTGTATCCTTTTGTGTCTCACTTGTTGAAGATGAATCAATTGTTTCCGGAATACACTTTGTAGTCTTTTGTGTACGTACATTTTTCCCCTTTTGTATAGTTCCTTCTTCAATTGAAATATTACTGTTAATAAGGTTTCTAGTATCCTGACTCATTTTTGGCGTGCTAGTTCTCAGTCTGTCCAATGATAGTGGGTAGGAATCTTTATTCAATATACTCATGCTACTAATGTCATTTGATTCAGGAATAATTTCAAATTTCTGTGTAGAAGTTTTTACATTGACATTTGATTTCAACGGAACATTGGAAATGACTTTTGGTAATATTCTTACATCAGGCATTACATCCTGTGTATCAAGAGCTAAGATAGCAGAAGAGTCAAATTTTATCTGCGATCTTTTCAAAAATTCCCCAAACCTGAACTTTGGATTACAATATTTTTCTACGGAACAATGTAAAATTGCGAGCGGAATGTCGGATTCCGAAATCATTTTACGTTTATTCGTTTGCAATAATGAATCTATAAAAACAAATAATTAAAAGTATAAATATAAACAATATGAATGTGTAAAAGTTATTAAAAGTACTAACATACTGCATCATATTCAGGCACTATACGTTGTGTTGATTGTGTTGAATCACTGTCAGAATATTGTAATACAATGACATTAGGTGCACAGATTTCCTTTCTGCTCAAAGGCTTCTTTGAGTATAAAAGTGATTTACCACCTTCAATATATTTCTTATTAACAATAATAACAAACACATTTGTACCATTAATTATTTTATACTTACTTGCCATGTTAATCATTTTCCAATATGCTCTATACTGATGAGCACTAAAGTGCACAAATATTAAGTTTTGAAATAATATCTTTCGTTTTTCATTTACATGAAGTGAAACCTTTCTGGCATTAATCAGTGATTCAGTAATTGGTGGAACAAAGTCTTCTGACTTTGGGAACTCTTGGCCATTATCAACAGCATGTTTAACTTCCTTCCAGTAATTCAGATTTACTATTGGTACAGCAGAAGCCATAGCCCACGTAACCTAAACCATAATTAAAGTGGAAAGTTTTTTCTAATTCTAAATACAATAAAGCTATTCTATTAATAGAGACCTTTTCAGTCAAAGTAGCTTTTGACACTGTTAAGTGAGTACAATTACTTGTCCATTCACTAGAGATCATTCCATCAATTTCATCTATTATACTTCGCAGTGCACTTTTATCAGTTTCATTCAAGGTAGATACAACAGTTATTATTGGCACATATACTACACTAAAATGTAAATTCAACTGGTGATATAGAAGTACTGCAAATGTATGTTACTCCTAGCAAAAAAAAAAGTGAACAGTTGAAATATTACGTAAATATGTGTTGTTGCAAACCAAATCGTAATTTATCCTGATCTTTCAAATGATATCCTTCCTGAGTAACTTCTATTCTTTCTTCTTCACCCATAAGAATATATGTACCATATTTTGAACCCATATCTTTCAATTTACATATCGATATGGGTTCATTCACCTAGAAGGATGAAAAAATGTATAGCTAATAGTGGAAATCCTTGAAAGCAACAAGTAATTCTCACACTTTTTATAAGTACCTCCACTACTTCTTTGGGTTCAACATGTATAGAAGCATGCAATCTACTAATGGATTCGTCATTTTGCAGAAGAATGTCACTTTTCTTTCTACCAAATGTCAATTCTTTATTTGGTTTCAAATACAACCGTTTCCCTAAAATAATAAATAAACATCCGTATTATAACAATGTACTTCAAGCTTAATGATTAACTTGTTATTATAGATGCATCAAAGACTTTACCCATGGAATTGATCAAATACCACATTCTGCTGTGTTTCAAGATGTTTGACGATTTTAAAGCCGTAGATTACTGTAAAATTCTTTACTCGTTATACGACTAAATCATAGTTGGTGTACACTTGTATGTACATTATCTTTAACTCCAAATAACTTCAAAATAATTGTGAATTAATAAACACCACTAAACACACAGTATTGGGCAGTCTTGGCACAGCACGACAGTGGCGCCTTACAAAGCACTGCACACGCGATTTTTACCACTAGACCACAGTATAGGTATAATTAGATATCCTCTAATCAGAGTCAAGAAATTCCCGATCCCGAGAGGAGTTACTCCAGTGCTACTTCTGTCCTTCGGTCTCGCTTCATCCCTACCATCCCTACCCATAAGACGCGCAGTCTATTATACATATATGTCTATAATTCGAGTAGTACCCGATCATACCCGACTACCCGGACCGGTTACCTTTTCAGTGTGGTAAAAGTGCCAGTCATTCAATATTTCGATACAGTGCTTCATTCATTAATGCTGTATTAGATAATTTGAATAAAGAATGGGTGCAGTACGTGTAATTAACGACGATGGCCAATTTTACAGTGAAATGGCCAGTGCGGGTACAAAATTGGTGGTAGTAGATTTCACAGCAACATGGTAAGTTCTCTTTAGGGTTATATGTAATGCCAAGATACAGAAACTGTAATTTCCGTGGTTGTTAGACAAGTTAAATTATAAACATTTTGAAATGTTTCTTTATCAATACATGGCATGTAAATTCAAACATTCATAAGAAAGAAGGTTTACTTTTTGGAACAAAATATAGTTTACTGATGTCAGTATCACATTCAACTTCAATATTTTACAATATTTTACGCATTAAGTTACTGTTAATGAAATTCATAATTATCTTTAGTGGAAGGTCAAACTTATTTTGTAAGTTACTATAAATCTGTTTTATATATGTATACATGTATTATTAAAAATTTAGTGTAAACTAAATTTATTATGCCAGTTGTTTACACATTATTATTGTAATCTATAGGTGTGGTCCTTGCCAGAGAATTGCACCAGTATTTGAACAATTGTCGGGTAAATATCCAAATGCCATATTTCTTAAAGTTGATGTGGATAAATGTGAAGAAACTGCTGCTGCGCAAGGTGTTAGTGCAATGCCTACATTTATATTCTATCGTAACCATACAAAATTGGGCTTGTGTCAAGGAGATGATCCAGTTGGATTAGAATCGAAAATTCAACAATTTTATGGCGTTGGGGATTCAGAAGAATCTGAGAGTCCAGTGTCTGGACATGTACGAAGTAGTGATAATACTTACTATCATATTATTGGAATGATGTTACTTGCTGCAATTCTTTACTACTGGAATAAGTACCAATAAGAAAGTTGTGGTAACTTTCTTTCAGTGGATATTCTCATTATTATACAATATTCATTTTAAAAAGTATTATTAACCACAAGGTAGAAACAATGATATTTTTCCATTAATTGCATGTATTTGTAACATTGTAGCCTTTTTTAAAAGTCACATTTTACAAATATGTGCTTCAACATATTATTAGTATATAATGTGTACATGTTAAAATGTAAGAGTTTGTATTGCATTTATATGCTTATGTTTTAAATAAAAAACTCATATTTATGTAAATTTTTCCCTGAATGTTTTTACCCAACTTTGTTGCATATAAAGATACACATATTAAATACTTATTATAAGTATTTCAGAAACTATGAAATATATCTTTTACAGATGGATTTATCTACATTCATTACCAAGTCACAATGTGAATGTTTAAATGAATCTGATGAACATAATTTCGTACAATGTTTGACCTCAGATGATGGATACCTTGAAAGTGACTGTGATGAGCAATTAATATTATCTATTGCATTTTCACAAACAGTTAAAATTCATTCTTTGAAGATTAAAGCTCCTAAGGATAAAGGACCAAAAAATATTAAATTATATATCAACCAACCTAGAACAATTGACTTTGATATGGCAGATTCTAATACAAGTATTCAACAGCTAACGTAAGACTTACTTTTATTCATATTATTATTTTCCTAATAATCTAATTCACTGTAATAATATGTATTATTAATGTCATTACATCAATGCACAGATTGTCATCAAAGGACCTCGAAGAAGGCAATGTAATTCCATTACGCTTTGTTAAGTTCCAAAATGTGCAAAATTTACAAATCTTTGTAAAAGACAATCAAAATGGTAGTGAAACAACAAGAATTGATCACTTGATTATTATTGGTTCACCAATTTCAACTACAAACATGGACGACTTCAAGAGAGTAATTGGTAGGATAGGGGAGAGTCATTAACAGCCATTTTTTTTATACACAATGAATTCTAAAAGAAAATGTAGTTTGAAACATACTTTTCAGTCATTTTTCATGTTTTTCAAGAATAATACTAAAATAAATTGTGTTTTTATCACGTTTTGTTTGTGGATTATATGAACATGATATTGTGCAGTTAAGATCTGCAATAATAAACTATTAAATTAAAGTATAAATTTTTTATATTATCTAAAAGTTTCTAAAACACAATAAACAGTTAACAACATTTATGTATTATCCTTTATTACAAAAGATCCTGAACAACTAACCACAACAGAATTAATAAATGTCTACAAAAATATAATCTTAAATGTTTAAACATTACAATTGTTTGTTCAATTGTAATTGTGTTGTTGTTGTACAAATTCCAATAACTTCAAGTTACGTATTTGATCATGGAGCAATTTTAATTGATGTACCATTAAAAAGTAATAAAATTTTGTTGTACTCATAATAGATGGATAAACAAATTAAATAAAATTTATGTACCTTAGCACATGTTTTGTTTACACACACCGCTTTATAAGAATGTCGTTAATGAGACATAAAATAAGAATTCAGTTATATCTTAAATAAAAATGTTTAATATATAATTTGCCACATAATGTACAAAATCGCAAATGTAATCATTGTATACAAAATTTATCCATGCACTACTTCCAATTAATTATTTATGGACAAGTCTTATGAATTCGCCAAACACCACCACAACGACAAGCTCTTGCCCACCTTTGATCCCATGCCCTAATTGCAGCTGTTCTTGTCATATTTTGGACTTGAGCTTTTCCCCCACACCTAAAATTTTATGTTGTGATAATTCAATTTCTCAAAAAACATGCTATAATAAGAGAATTAATAAATATATATTTATAATATTTAAATGAAATTGTTGCATTCAGCACCTTGTACATTGTTTAACAAGAAGTGGTTGTTTTCCAAGGTATAAATGCCTAATACCATCTACAATTTGTCCACTATGCATACAACCCTCAACTGGATTAAGTTCAGGTACAAATAATAATTGTTCAGATTCTACACCATACTCCAACTGCAATCAAATGATATAACAGATTGAATTGTCACTATATTATGATAACTAAAATTGGAGGGTTCAGTGCAATAATGGGCTGTTAAAAAAAGACAAGTTTGCGAAAATGAGCCCCAAAATTTCGGAATGGTTAACTGCTTTTGCTTTAGAATAAAATAAAACCAGAAAACACAATATTAACATGTGTATTGGATGGACCACTTGTCACAATGTAGAGTGTAGCACTGACAATCAACTGTGCACATGTTCACTTTTTTCCAATCTTGTTGGACATTCCACTATTGCACTGACCCCTTGAATTATGTTTCATAAGTCAATGAAGAAAAACATATACATTTCTTTACCTGTGAGGGAAAACTCTGATAGAAAAGAACAGGGGTAGCTATAGCTGTTATGCTATTACCCTGATGTAACTGGGGAATCATGATCTGATTTGGTAGCAGGCAACAGTCATCTGGAAGAAAGTGATTGTCGTAGCACTTTTTTGATTCAATCATAATTCTGTACATACGGAACTTCAATTTTATTGTTTCTTATCTTTATCTAGTTATTTTTTTTATTATTATTTTATATCTAAGAATAATCTATAGATCTGATGTACTGGTTGTGTTGTGAAGAAATAAATAACCTTGGAATTATGATTTTTAATATTTTATAGAGTTTATAATTATACTTCAAATATAATAATTTTTTCTGTATTATTTTCATTTCCATTGTTTCCAGGATTTTCCTGTAACGGTACTACTGACTTTTCGATATCCAAATTCACTGACTGTTGTGTAACTATTTCTGGATCTGGATGTATTTGTAAATATACTTCTGTTTTCTCAGTCTGTGGGGGCTTTAGGTCCGCAATAAAATAGACTGATTCACGGTCTGTCTGTTTCATCTCATTGTTTCCATCATTGACAACGCCCTTCTCGGTCGGCGAGAAATCATTTGGGAAAAAATGTTTCCCTTCTGTGGCTTTTGAATGACTTTTTATTTCATTTTCCTCAGCTTCTTCAGCTGCTTTTATAAGATCAATAAAAAATAATTCTCTCGGTGAAAGTGGTCCTTCTGGGGATTTAACATCTGCTTCATCATTCGGAGTAACCGTTACTAGTTTTAAGTAATCCTTCATAGATTGTCTATGAATTTTAGGAATGTCGTTTCCTGATTGTAAGATGTATTCATCTTCATCATTTTCACTAATATTATCTTTCAGGTTTACAGTACCAGTACTTTCGATGTTGTTACACGAATTACGACGATGTATTACAAGCGGTGGAAGATCTTTATGTTTTTTACTTTTATTAGGTCGTGATTCAGCGAAAATATTCGTGTTTGTCTCGTCAATACCGGTTTTCGTTTTACTTTTATCAGAAATTGAATCATTCAAAGATTTGCCTTCTCTTATGTTTGTAAACTTTACATTTTCCAAATCATCACCTTTTACCCTGGCCACAGATGCTGACGTCATTGAATTACTTGTACCATATTGTAATTTAGTTTTAGCATTTTTGTCGGACTTGATACATTTCCAGATTAAAATCAAAAGTAATGTAATTAAAAGCCAAGTTATAAACGCAATGACCCAATTCAATACGAACCAGACGGCTGACCACTTACCGCTTCTATTATTATTATAATGATTGAATTGATTGATTATAAGAGGAGTTAATATAATCCAATATAGTACAAAAACGCAGAACGTTATTACGCAAAACACAACGAATTTATGTGGCGTTGAACATTGCCAACACTTCTTAGATTCACTTTGTCCCTGTAGTAATTTATGCTCTGTTAAAGCCAAGGAGTTCGTGTGTTTCACAGCCAGACCCTCGCTCATTTTAAATTATTTAGTAAGATATGTAAATTTAATTAATTATTGCTTATTGCACAAGGTACTTTTTATTTAATAAAGAAAATAGCCGACCACTTGATGTGGATCTGCTAGCGTATGCTTAATAATACTAAACGAAAAAATCAGGAATTCCCTTTCAACACAGAAGGAAGTGGTGCTTTATCTTACTTCCTACTAACCAACGTATTATGATAAAATCCAAATGACTCCTCAAGAGCGTTAAGTACAAATTAATCATTTTAATTGTAATACAAGTATGACTACATTAAATATGGTTTAAAAATGATGTGGAAATACTTACCAATTAGTCCGTCATCTATCTGCTGAGCCTGAGTATCACCGTTTGGTTGGACCAATTTCGATAATAAACGGAACAATAAGGCCAATACGTCGAGATTATCTGCACTACGAAGAAATACTGGTAGACACGACGGACGCAATAAACCCCATATACGTATAATTACAAGTAACTCTCTCAGTGTATTTAAGGCCTTGTGATCCTTTAGAAGCTCATACTGTGTTGTTTAGTAAAACAAAAAAATAGTTATATTATTAAGGCATTATCGTACTATAAGACTGGTAGCATTATTTAATAATAACTAAGAATACTAACACCGCCAGATTTCATTTGTAGCCGCTGTTCTGGAAGACGCGCTAAAATATTCAAAGCCAGATCCGCGACCCACTGAATTAATTGTTGTAACGATTGAAGCGTACTTGGTTCTACTGTAAATTCTTTGGGATCAAGATGTAAAAGTACCTATCAATTACGAAATTATAATGAAATACATGTTGATGTAACTAGACTGAAAAGAACAAGCTTTTCATTTATACCTTATCTACATCAGTAATTGCATCATTAATCACTGTTGCTAAACTCTCCGCTGGTCCCTTATCATGAGAAATTAAATCTGATGGTCGTAGTAAGGATTTAAAAGCTGTTGCTACTGAATGTATCATAAGCAGTGACGATAAATCTGCTGCCTTACTCTGCCCTGATATTAACATTCTGAAAATAAACTTCCAATGGTCATAGTGCACTAGACATTTAACAATTAGCAACTTAGCTTTATTTCAATAATATGGAACCTATATAACGATGTTTTGATGCACAGAAATTGAATATAATGATACTGCTGTATGGACTGTAATTGCCTATTGAAAGAAACATCCAATCTTTCACATAATGGTTCAATCATTGAAGATCTTAAGCAGAAAAGTATATCCAACCAGTCCAATCCAGTTACTAGGCAATACTCTAACAGTGTACATGCGTAAGTTAATGTCATTGATGGTCCTATAAAGAAGATTGAAGATAATTGAGAGTTCCACAATTGTGTTCCTAAAGATGATTTTCTTGATTTGAACTTTAAAAAATTACCTCCATCTGGCAACAATTTGTATAAATATAAATTTCCCCGTGTATCACAAGCCAAGAGGACACAACCTAACCAGGACAGATCTATACTTGCTATAGAGATTGAACTTTTAAAATACTTATTATTAGGTTCATCAGTTCGCCAAGCCATATTCAAAGATGATAAAGATATTTCTTTTAGACAATCACGACTTAAACAATGTACCGATGAGTCTGCCAAAGCTACTACAACGTAACTTGGAGGTGGTAATGTAGTTACTATTGATAGTTTTGTAGTTGCTATTGCTGTTATTGGAGACTGACAACGATATTGTGATTGATGTTGCCATACCTATAAATGTGTAAATAACAAGATGCGTCAGTAAATGTTTGTTACGACATAAATTTCATATTTAAATACCTACCACTACAGTTTTAAATGGTTCTAAAGTTTTAGGCTGAAATAGCTTATGAACTGGTTGTGATTTCTCTCGCAATTCCCATACTTCTACAATACCTCCAGTTTCACTATTAACAGCAACAACCAAAGAATCTGCATCTTCCCGAACTACAAACTTTAAGTGTGTTACACTCGTATCTACGAAAACAATTCTATTAACATAAAGTGTAACAATCACTCATATTATCTATCAACTATTTGACTGTACATGTATTGTCTTTAGGTGCTCCATCCTGCAAGAAGAAACTTGGGAGTGCCTGTGACGTAATAGAACATTTATCATCATTTTTACGGACTAATACTCTGTAACATCTGATTGGTAAACAAATGTTTCCACTGCTGACAGCTACCAAAATATGACCATCTAAAAAATTTATAAAATATCACTTTAATCCGCAGATTTTTAAATATGCAATTACTTAGAAATATATTAGTTTATGTACTTTTTCCATAACATAAGTCAACTGCAGTTATTCTATGTCTTGTACTGCCTAAGCTTTCAGTTGAGGAACAAATAGGATTTAGAAAATCTTTTGTAATCATAACTGCACCAACCATGCCTGTTGTTGACACTACCAATACACCTTCTGCTGCTCTACCACCAAATTGTCTTACAGAAGGAGCAAAAGGTAAATGATTAAATTTCTCACTATAATGAATACTATCTTTTTTCTCAGTTACAAGTCCTGTCTGAAATTATAATTTTTTGTAAACTGGGTATACCAAATCAAACTTAAATGTCTCATATATTAATTTCTAATACCTTTTTCCCATTATGAAACCAAGCTGCACCTAATATGTGTTCCCCAATGAAACAAGTGGAACCAATTAATACCCAATCATTGAGGACATGATCTTTAAACATCCACAATTGTACGTTTCCAGTAAAATCAGCAATAACTAATTTATCACCTGGTAAATCCCATTCCAATGACGTAATAGTATTCTTATTTGACAATACCCTAAGGATGCATAATAATGTTAACTGATATGAAAACAAAATATTTCAAACAGCTAAATAAACTGTTTAAAAATGTTTCATACTTATGAATATGCCAAGGCATGTTTAAATCGCATACATAAACATGAGATCCCCATGTTTTTCCACTATTGTCATCTAATTCTGTGGTCGTAGTAAACGCTGCTATATTTCGACTAGATAATGAGCACAGAGATTGTCCTTCATACAGGCTAAAAATTGGATTACTATGAAAGCATTAAAAGGTTTTAAAATTATTGTTTGCAAAATATGTTCTTATAACTAACCTTAACTATATTTTATACATTACAAAAATATTCATATTTGAACATATTTAATTGAACAAAAAACATTGCAATTATTAACATTTTATTCATAAGTAATATATTAGTATGAATTACGGTGTTACTTGAAGAAAAATATTTCCAATAATATGCAAGATAAAAGTAGTTGTTATTAATAATAATGAAACATACCTTTCTTGATTTATAAAAGGTTTCGATGTCACTTTTCTATTTACAGTGTACAATAAATCCATTGTTACGAGGTTACGTTACAATTATAAACACTACGAACACGAGTGCATGCACTCCAATATTGTTTCTTTAATATACTTGTGCATTGCGATGCACAAGAATTTTGTACAAAAGGTTCAAATGATAATTAATCATTGAATAAAATTATACCGGGAAAACCATAACACACTACGCGCACATCGCGGTCGTCAGCACTGCGTCATGTGATAAAATGGTATGTGCTGTGAAGCTTAGCCGAATATGCATTCTTCGTTCTGATTCGGGTCATTTGCAATTATGAGGCTTTTCCTGTTATTTTTAATTATCCAATATATGAACCAACATTAGATAATCGAAGTGCACTTTGTTGGCTGTATTAATAAATCGTATTTGCATCGTTTCTTCCTTATTTATTTCAGTTTCCTCAACCTACTTGTGCCATAAGAACAATAGAAAGCATAGCTTCACATACTTTTGTTGACTTATGTTTTTGGTTATTCATTTTCTTATGATGTGAGACATGATGTGCATAGATCACAAGATTGTTGTTGCTTAATTGTAATTTTAAAAAATAAATACATAAATGAAAATGCATGAGTTATGTATCTAAACCAAAGATGAAGTAAACGAATTTCTAGAAATCTTCTTTTTTTCTATACATTTTGTTTACTTTGCATGCTTGAATAATTCTTTGAAACATGTATTACAAGATGGCAAAGTTATTATTAGTTGGCTAATAAGTGATTATTGATCACATTCTTTCATTTTGTTTCAAAAAAGCCAACAAACATATGTTGACATACATGTCTGTTGCATTATATGTTCTTCTTCTATTATACTTATACAGAATGCTTTAAAAATAAACAAAAACATAAGCTTTCATATGCATCTTTATACTTTCTATGTATGTGTATTATAATTAATAAAACATTGAATGTTACTTTCAATGTATATTATGTAGTAAAATGGAAAAAATGTTTTATAATATTATTGCATAGAAAATGGATGGTGATCAGGCAAAGGACAACAGATCTAAAACAAGTGAAAATGCAAATAGTAAAGCCACAGAATCACTAGGTCTAACTACCAGAATTGCTCTTGAAACATTACAACGCGATATTAAAAGAGTTTTACAAGAGTATGAAGAAGAGTGCAAAAGAAACAAGTAATATGATTACTTATTTCTCACTTTTTTATTAAAGAAGAGAAAATATCATGTTCAATATTGTATATAATGTATATATTATGTGCAGAAAATATAAAGCTTGGCTAAAGGATACTTTACATCATCGTAGTCAATACACAACTCTTTGTTGGACTTCGGCAATTGCACTTTTGATCAATGCCATTATCCTTGTTATTGCATTCTTCACAGCCAACGAAACATGGTATGAACTCAATAGTTACATGTCACATATTCAAACACAATAAAATTGTATAAACACATTGATGCTTATAGACTATGTAGTATATGTACTCTAATAAGTTACAGCTATATATTGTAGTTATATTTCTTAAAATATTAAAAAGATGTAGAACCATAGATAGTAATTTAGAAAAACATGCAAATATAACATAAGCAGACATTAAAAAACATTTTTTTAAAAATCTTTACTTTATTATAGGTATCTTACACTGCCTTACGAAGGACTGATAGTCTGTTGTTTAGTAGTCTTAAATTTTATTTTAGTTGTATCAGATAACAAATTACGACACAAAGAAATTCCTCATAGAGTACGATTACTTCTCGATCGACTAGAAGGTATATTTATATTTAAATAGAATGAATTTCATTGCATTTTAAACTTTGTTCATATGATTATGTTTTGTCCACTTTAGTTGCAAAAAATACTTGTCAATGGGACTCTGAGAATTATCCACATTTATGCAGTCCACTGTCTCCTTGTTTAACTTTACAGTGGACTTATCGTGATGGCCATATAGTGAATTTGCCATGGGCATTGTTGGTTGCTGGAGACATAATTGTAATAAAACCTGGACAACAAGCACCTGGCTATTGTGTTCCTTATGATGTAAGTTTGATAAAGTGATAAATAAAACTGCTATCTTATACAAAACATACAAATATTAATAATCAAATCATTTCAGGATGCAGAAGCGCCAGTGTTACATGTTAGAGAAGTGTATAGTCCGCAAGTTCATAACGCAAATGAAATTTTCTCAACGCCTCAAGCACGGGCACCGTTAAAAAATAAAATTTACAAACTTCAAGAGACTCCATACTTGATGAATCTTAGAATGGCTCTCGATCAAGCTCTCGATAGACCAGTCACGTATCATAATCGTAAACGACACCTCTTAATGATATGTTGCATTGAACAACTCGCATATCCAGTTCTTTTAATTATTGTACTAATTGTAAATTTATTACGATACTTATATTTGTCAGAATATTTTGGTGTTGGTCATTGGAGCGAAATGTTCATATTACAACCAATTGCTATTAGCATTCCTTTGCTTCCGTTAATATTTCCAGTTTGTTGGATTTTTCTTAACTGTTTTGGAATGGCACGGTTTAAAGCTTTATTTAAATTGTATCAGTCTTCGAAGAAGCTTCAGGTTAATATATCTATAATACAATGAAATTTACATGGTACCATCATACTTCATAATGAATTATAATTGTAGTTTATTGATCCTTTCGAGGATACGGATATCTCTGGTCCAAGTTATCCGGAAGTAGTATACAATTGGTTGGAACTAAAAGAATACTTTTTCAATATTTTGTCTGGTAAAGAACACATGATGTCAAGATCTGCAAGTATCCTACATGTTTTAGGATCAGTCACGGTACTTCAGATGTATTCTTTTAGATTAAGCTTAATAGCAAATGTACTAATTATCAAATAATGCGATAGAAAGAGAAATATAATGAAACAATTTTCAGGCATTATGTTGTGTGGATAAAAAAGGAATTCTTTCGTGGCCTAATCCGACAGCGGAAAAAGTATTTTTCTTACGCAATACCAACACTTTGTCCCCATCATCAAGGTGAAAATATGCTGTACTTAAAAGTGTCAAAGTACTAATGTTAAAACCTATGAGGTAATTTTTTATTCTTTTATAGTACTGGTAGTTTAGACAGAACTTCTGAGCATCAATGCCAAACTCAAACCGAAGATTCCAAACAGTATTCAAATAAAACATCTTACGTGCAACATGGTAATATGAAGTGAAGAAAATATAATCTACTTGATATTATCGAAAACAGAATTCTATGATACATGAAAGACTGCTTTTAGACATGTCTCATTCAACAGCTGAAGTCTTGGATCTTACCCATGATCACGCTTTACCATTTCGTCTACAGTTTGATGATCATGCTTGGAGGCAACACTTGAATTCATTGAAACCACTAGGTCTAGCTATTCTACTAAACACATGTAACATGGAAACGCAAGAACATTATATGCAGTTCTGTTGCCATGTCACTTGTGAAGCTCTATACAATGAAAATCTTGTACCAGTTACAAACAGACGGTATGTACTGTGCCCAATTGGATCATTGTATTTCATTAATATGCTTTGCTGCACTGCATTTCCCCCCTTGTTTGTATACGTAATTCAAACTAATTCTACCAATTATCAAGCTAATTACGACCAGTTTATCATACTCATACTCCTAAGACAGTCCAAAGGTAACACTTCTAGTTACCAGTAACGTTGATCATACACATTTGTCAGCTACCAGGATCACAGTGTAGAAGATAAGAGTGGGTATCAGGCAAAAGATACAATGCAAAGTTCAAGACAGGTGTATTTAGTGGACGAATCAGGGAGCCTTGGACAGATGTGGTCAGTCCAACCATAGTTACTTTATGTATCCTCCGTACTTATAGTTAATCTGTCTATAATGGGTGAATGGATCTCCAATCATATTGTACATAAATCATGTGAATGCTAATCATGGGTCACTCTCACACTTTCGTTCTTTTTTTTTATTTTGCTAAAATAAATTACCACCTACTAAAGTCCAATATGTGATTGATGTAGGTGCTTGTGTGAATTAGCAAAGCAGATAGGATTTCAAGAGCAAGCACAAAATATATTTCACTTGGAACAACAATTATCTACATTTAGGCATGTTGTAAGCATCACGTATCATTTAAGTTAATTTTTGTAATCGTTCATGAAAGGAGAGATTCAAATTTCACGCATCATATTCTAGCAACCAGAAATGGTTCGACGTGACATTAAATTCGCAAGATCTTTAAGTATTGCAACAAAGTTGAAGTTTCCTTTTCCACATATGGTCGCCGTGGTCGTCAAAGAACGCAGTGGCGGTGGTTTGCAACTGCTAACGCAGGGTACAGCAGATATTATTTTGGATTCGTGTATTGAATTTTGGGATGGTCATGATCTCTGCCCACTTTCTGCATCTGATAGGTACACAAACAAATTAGTCTGTACGAAAATACTTGAATCTTTTGATGACAGTAATCATTCTATGTATATTTCAGAAAAAAGGTGCAAGATTTTTACCAAAGAACCAGCTTAACATCGTATTGCACCGCATTTGCGTATAGACCATTAACGCGTGGTATTAGCAATAAGATGTCTAAAATATATTTAGAGCTTCCTGCAGACAGCAAACATTTGTATACGCCTCACAGAAGTCCTACTCCATTACCTTGGGACTTTAGAAACGTTCTTGATCCCAGAGTGAAAGGCATTCTTGGACAGTTTCATTCGACTGGCAAGTATCAATAATATTCTATGTTACTTGTATAATTATAAACGCAATATGAATTATTCCAATATTATGATAATTTTTTTATAGATTCTCTTCTATGCAACGAAAACAAGGACGATAACATAAGCGATGTCGAAAGCTGTTTCGAAATTCAATGTAATCAAGTCTTCATTGGAATGGTCACTATGCAATATCAAGCACAAACAGATATGGTATGTATTAACTATAATTGGTAATGTAACTTGTTTATAATCAAATGTTAATGAAACTTACCTAGACTGCTCTACAGGTGCAATTAATTGAACAACTCGACAGAGCTTGCATACGTTTCGTTCACTTCAGTAAAGAGAACGAATTACGATCTCGAGTGTTTTCAGAGAAAATGGGGCTGGAAAGCGGATGGAATTGTCACATTTCATTGCTGAGTGAGAGAGCTAGGTACTATACTCCATTCTTCAATTGCCAATCAGTATTTCTACAAACTCTTTGCTGTGCTTTCTTTTGCTTTTGGATTAATATGAAAAGTTTGGGGCATGTCCTCATATTGGAGAGTATAAATATGTTATTTTCTATATGTGTAAAAGTCTGTGTACAAAAGCATATTCAACACTAAATATGACACTAATCGTATACGTTGCTGGTGTTACAATTATTTTCTTTTACTTGTCAATTAAACAGGATATACATACGTCACTTCTTAATGTCGTTTATCTAATATGTTGTAAATCTAAAATATTGTGGTGTCCGATTTGAACTTGTTTAACTAGCTATTTGTTATAGCTATGAATGTGAATGTAAAATATGCATGTACATTACAGGAGACAGCAATGGCTGGAGAGATATCCACACATGCCCCCATCGTATATGTTTGTCTATACCTCTTTCTTTCATTACTGTTACTAATTTGCATGTTTATTCGTTACGCTCTATATTAATATTTTTATTGTGATTATCGTTTCTATAGAGTTTAAAGTACTTTGAATGCGATGATCCGATTTTCCTTCCTTTGATCTTTTGAGCAGTATGTACTTTAGTGAAATTTAAAAGCCGAACCTTTTTTTTTTCCAAAAACCTTTTGTATGTTCTTATTAGAGTATTAAGTTATATCGTTTGTATTGTCGCCAGTAGTTACTGGTAACGATTTTAATAGAGTTTAATGGCTTCCTCATTAGCAGATACAGTCTCAAACAACATCTATTCTAGTACACATCTAATTATACCATGCACATGTGTTAATATCTCATATTATATCATAACATACATAAAATACACAAATAAATGTTTGTAACTAACACACCAATATTAGGTCCGAGAGTCCAGTGGGTTGGTGGGTGAGCCAGGCAGCAGCCATGTCCTCACCCACTCCCTCGGCCCAATCTCATCAGCATAATTACTCCTGCATGGATGAGGCCAGCCACTTGCTTAATCGTATCTCTCCTCGGTATGTTACATATTACCCTTTTATCACACACAAACACTAAAAACGTTCATTGTTACTTAACCCTTGGATGGTGGACAGTTTTGGTAATAATATAAAGAGCGGAGTCTTAGACCATAATGGACCTTTGTGCGTCATCTCTTCTAAATGCATTCTTGAATGTATTTCGTTGAGAAATTCCTGTCCTGTTTTTACCGAAACTAATATAAACAACTGCTACCTCAAATTAGCTGTCGCCAACGAAGTTAGACGAACTTCGAGAAAACTCGGTTCATAATAGACCCGATCATCGCCGTCCAAGGGTTTTAATATACATAACTATATTCGATTGAGAACCATGCTTCTGCTTCTCGATACGATATTTAAATGAAACATTTGCTGACTCGAAAGTTACGAGCATGCATTCATACATTTCTGCTGCATACATATGCCGCATTGATGTGTTTGTGTTCTAAGATTACCCTGCATGAATCAATCAGGGAGGAATCGCCTCTCTATTTTATGCATTATTTGACATTATAGCACCAATCTGGACAACAGCCGTGCTATGAGTATGTCCGCGCCAAGCGCTATAAACACAGACTTCTCTACTGTGAAATTCGACGATGAGGCCACGGAGTGGAACGATACAGGACTATCCCAAGTCAAGAGTGCTATGAGCCATAGGTTCGTTTCATGTTATGTGAAATGATCGTAATTATTAAATGCTGAATGTTATAATATAATTTTTAATTTGCATGCCAGTCTAAATCATCTAGTACAAAGGATCACGAGAACTGGATCGTCACTCTTTTCGTAATTATTTTTTGTTCTTTCCCATTCTTTTTGCAGTAGACTTAGCTCCTTTCACTCACGTATTTTTGTTAACAGTTTAGTTACTATTTTCAACTTTATTTACTCCCTTCTGTTTCGTCCGTCTTTTGAAATAATTTAAGAGTGGAAAATGAATGTCGGGTATTAAAGGATGTAATAATATATAACAGGGAACAGGATACAGTGAGAAGCGAAGATAGTGTACTTGTGCAAAGTGTGGATTTAGGGTCTGGCCAAGAGGCATGGCGGTCTCTGAGTTGTCTCACAGACAGCACAGAACAAAGTGCACCGGTGAATTTTGATTTATCGAATAGAGTAAGTTTCCCGATTGAGGATAATTTTGTCTTGAAAAACCGCATGTTTCGAGTTTCTATGTACCATTTCCTTTTTAGGCGAAACTACCGCGCGGTATCGATAAGATTCGACCACATATAGAATTAATAGACAATGTACCCTTGCTGGTGTCTCTTTTCACTGACTGCAACACTGCTGTTACGAGAGAAATGTTGCACATTATGCAAGATTACGGAGAAGTAGTTTGTGTTCTGGGCTCTTCTGCTAACGCAGAAAATATGTCCATTTTTATGCTTTACGTTTTCCTTGTTTATGAAACGACCTGGAACTTTGTAGCTACTCTTAAAGATCGTATCTTTCTCCATTTGAGCAGTAATGAGTGGTCGTTTCGGGACCACGCGAATCCTTTTAGATACAGGCCCTATGTATTGATAGGACAAACGACTCGTAGTTTGGTAATCCGTTTTGGATTTAGTTTGCCAGAATGTTGGCTTTCTTGGTCTCGTAACGACAGAAGGCGTAGAAAAATTCTGGTAAGATTCTTTTGTCACTGTTGTATTTTCCATTGAAACCGAATGGAGATACTTTCCCTGGTACGGTTTATATTTCTTCACTGTCACGCGTCCCGGATCCATGTAAGATGTCATATGAACAGTTGTCATATCGTGCGATCCATCTATAAATAAACGTGCTCTTGGGAGAAACGGTTCTGGCACTTTTCCTTTCAACGGTTGAAAGGATAATTTATATACGGTATCAGAATCGATTTTCTCGGAGATTTTAGACGCTATCTTCTCATGGTCCCCGTAATTAAATCTTCGCTTGGGAACGCAGTCGAATTTCATATAAGACCTGCCATACGTTGTTTCTGAGTCAATTTTAATGGTTGGTTTTATATACGGTCTATTATACACTATTGGACGTCTTCTATCCGGTTGTAGATATAGCAAATTCTCATCTTGTAATATTGAACGTTGCGGTTTCTCTAAGTTCTTTATTCCGCAACGGGAAGCTTCAGTAACGCATTCCATTATTTTTTTTTTTTTGCAAAAAAATATAACTTTGTATAAAAAATTTTAAAATTTAATCTGCAGAGAGAAATTATCAAAGTGTGTCCGCTAGTCTTCAACTGTTCTATGCTACGTTCAAGCGTATAATAATATTAACGATGATTTGATTCTAGAGTGGCAGTGGAACCATTGTATCCACAAGTTTGTCAGAGAGTTCCTGTATTAACGTCGACGAAGGATGATCAAGGTCCATCACCCGTCGATCTCAGTAGAGCATTAAATTCTGTTGCGTGCTCGTTAAGCGTCAAACGTGAAGATCCGATTGCGATATTCCATTTGATCATGGAGGTAGATTAGTGTACATTAAACGTAAACCCTTTGGATCTATCCATTTCTGGTGGAGGATACAGCTTGGTACCTTTCCACTTGAAAATACTCCAGTACCAAGGGTTCACTTTTAAATTTTAATTTCACTTCTGATCACTATTAAAATACAGTTTATTATTACACGTTTAGGCTCGTCATTACATGAAGTGTCTTTGGAATTGCGTGCAATTCTGGCTTTGTTGTACAGTCACACTCTCCTTTACACAAGCTGTGTCCGGTTTTTTATTGCTACCGCCGCTATTCTCTGTCGATCAGGTCTTGTGGTTGAGTTGTTTAATCATTCCAATGTTATCGATATCGATGATTGCCACACCGAAGGATCATAGCATAATGCAACGTGCCACGGGAAAGAATCAGTGTACCATAAACGGACAGGTGAGAAGACTTAAAGCTTTCGCTTGGAACTGTTCTGATTCTGTTATGTCTTCTGTCTTGCAGGTTGCGCTGTTCGTTATATGGTGTTACGGCAGCAAGTTTTTACCGACGATTGTAACGATAGTTTTATCGCAATGTATATCGTTTTTAACATTGTGCCCAATTTACACGACCACAGATTCCAAGTGCCTGTACGTGTATCCTGATTCACAGGGGGAGGTTTCTTGGGGTGGTTGGGGTGCCAAACCGAATGTCATTTTAGTAGTACAGCATTTCGCTTTGTCGTTGTTAGTTTTACATTTAGGTAAATTTTATCGTTGATCACCTCGTGCACGACGCATTTTGATTGTATTCTGATATCGTGTCTACTACTTGTTCACAGTAACCATATCCATAGGCTTCGTACATAGAGAATATTCTATCTGGAGGAAACAACCTTTCAACAATTTCGTGTGGTTTTTAAGTGCATTTATAGTGTAAGTGTCATCATAAGTGTTTCCGTAACAGTTGTAAAAGTTTCCAAGACTTTCTTTTTAATATTGTTCTTATAGATTGTGCGCACAAGCTGCATTCTCAGGGACTGTATTTTGCACGTTTTGGAAAGAGGAGGGTCAAAACATTGAAGACTTTCCCATTCATCTGCCTTTATTTTTCTTAGTCTCTCTGCCGTTCATCTTTGCGGTGAATGAGTTGATTAAATGGCAAGAAATTAAGTAAGTTAATAGTTCTGTTCCAAGTAAGTATTACGAAACGCATCACTCAATTCTATACTAATTATTTTCAGAGCAAACGTAAGGTATCAAAAGAGAGCTCGACTAGAATTTGGCACAAAGCTCGGCATGAATTCGCCATTTTAGACAATTTTAAATAATTATTGAACGACATGAAAAGCCTGGGGAGTTAAAAGGTAATTTTATAACCCGTTAGTAAAAAATACCTTTTAAAATTATTTACACAGGCAAAAGTTATCGAATGAAATACTCAATTGTCGCATAATTTTTCATTTATTTTTTATTCATCATGAAGGTATACATGGTAAACGTTAACAGAATTGCGAAAGAATATAACTTTATTTGGATTATATTACAATGACATATATACCATTTGTTCACATAATTATGGTTTGACACTTTAAAAGTGTTGCGAATTTTTTGTCTGAGGATTATGCTGCAGGAAACTTTACAGCCTTGCAAACCAACTGTATTAGCACTCGATAAGAGATACGTTTAACATGCGTAGAATTGTTTGCGTAATTCGATAAATGAATATCAAAGTATTTCTATTTTTGTATAATACGAATACAATATTTTACATTTTAAGAATCGATGTGCTGCATAGCGTAGCATCTACTATTTCGAGCTTATAAGGTGTAATGTACTTAACTTTCGTTATAAATATTGTGCACAAATGATGCGCAATATTTTTATATAACTTCGAATTGCGTTGTCGCTCTATATATTTCTTTAACTTTTACAAAAGGCTAAAGATTAATGAACGACTTTTAATTTTTATGCACATGAAATTGAAATTTAATTGAAATATTACAAATTACCTACTTGTATTTTATTCTTATTCGATATCTGTTTTATAAAGTGGCAACACTTATTAAAAAAATGGCATTCAAAGATCTGTAACATTACTGACAATTAAATTTAGCCAATTTAATATTATTTAGACCGAAGGCGACCGAGAATATTGTTACTTTTTTCGTTTTTTTGTGTTCCTATAGGAACTAATTTACTTTGAGAAATTGAGGGAGAATGTTGCTTTAACATATTACATATTTGAGGATATTTTTGGATACTATGTTGCGTGACTAGTAATTATTGTTTTATATTTGTATTTTTAAAATGTGACTGAAAGTCACTATATATAAATTATAGTCTCGAAATAAATGAAAGAAAAATAACGATTTAAAATAAGGACTATTATTTTATAAGAAAAAGAAATAATGTAGTATTTCAGCATATTTTATTATTTATACGATTTATGATAGAATTTTATTTCCGATTCGATTCGAACTGCATTCTGTTTTTACAATTATACAAAAAACACTTTTATATAAGGAAGTATTTTAATTTTATTGTGTACGCCATTTGTTATATAGCCATATAGAGTTAAAAGGTAAACTTATATAGTATATACTATTTACAAATTGAGCTTTAGTAGGTAAACAAATAATTTCGATTGTAAAGAAAGTATTTCTATAAAGTTACTGTTTTATGTGTATTACTAATTCTTTGTAAGTTCGATTCTTGTAGAAATGATTGGGTAATTAATTTAAGTGTAAATGATTGTAAAAAAAGTTTGAAAGTTTAAAATAAAATTGTCCTTGACATACATTTTTCTATTTCTCTCCCAGATTGTAGATTTTTTATTCAGTTATCTGCCGCATAAAGCGGTAGTTTGCAGAATTAAACCAGAACGTTTGATTATCTGTGACAATTATTTATTGCATTTTGTAACGTAATCAAAATTAATACGATAATTATTACAACGCAAATAACAGTGGAATATACAGCTTCATATAATAATTTCGGCGAGAACACCGACCATACAAATAAATGATGACGCTGAATACTGATTATGATTGTATAAATAGTTATTGGTAATAATCTCCATGTAATATACGTTTTACTGACTTGCTTAATAATCACATGTGTACTAGAAAATAAAAAGACAATTTTACAGCAGGTGTATTGTACTACAATAACTTCTAATGATTAAGATTCTGAAGCTACTCACTCATACGGATATTGTAATACCGAATAATAAACTAGCAAAAGATAGGCCAAAACAGGCGCAGAGTAAGTATTAATTATTAATAATGATCCATTAACAATGGGCATATAGGATTGTATGCCAACGTAACCAGCGGCTACGTCAATGGTCGCTAAACTATTTGAATTTCCCTGAAGAAAAATAATTTTTCACTTTCTGACATTCAATACGTTATTTTTATAAGTCTTTCGTATTTAATGTTACCTGATAAAAATAAAATACATTGCCGATCCAAGCATATACAAACGCATTATTGTCTTTAATTATTGAGCCAGTCAAACTAGAAACAATTATTTGAAGTGGTAAAAGAATCACATTGTACGGCTGATGAAGCATCGCCGTGACCATGATCCACATTCGTAAAATGAAAAATAACGTGGTTTGTAAAAATATTCCTCTATTATATTTGATCATTGATACTAAACGATAAATATAATGAACCGAATTCATTGCTAATAACATCCAGAAAATTTGTACTTCGTATATGCCTCTGCAAGAATGGTATTTGGAATGATTATGAAATAGCGTAAATCTTGGGTTTAAAAGGAACACATTTACCTAGATTGAGGATATAATGGTACTTTGATAACATTATTGTTGTGCATATGTCGAAGATAAATGCATATGCACATGAGTAAATTAAACATTAGTGAGTATTTCTTGTACTTTTTATCTTCATGTATAAAATCCAGCCACATCAGAAGTATAAGGGCTAAGAAAATAATTTTAAGTATTTAACACTATGCTCATACTGAAGTAGCTTCATAGAATGCATTATTTAATTACCAGTGGCAAGCATGACTGTCATGCCCAGCATACTTTCTTGTTCTACCAAGACTCCAGCTATATCAGGAAGGTGAGCATATTTGTCTCCAGTACTATTTAATTTCCTAAGTATTCTATGTCCTATCATTAATAACAAAAGTTTAATACAGTTTTGTGCATTGGAATACTGTTTGTAGTTTCTGTAACTGAAATTGTATTTAAACATACAATTAATTATATTTTCTATAATTTAATAACTAACATATTAGTAAAACTGTCTTACAATTGCAAATGAGAATAAAATTTTGTAGCAGTATTATAAAGTAGCAGAATAAGAAGAGTGGCCCAATAGAAATACCAAGTTTGATGTTCTTCTTCCACAAAACTGCTACCACCAAAACTTATTGCATGTACAAATGCACCAAGAGGAAAAAACCATTTTCCCATCTTATTCACTGTTTCCTAATTTTACATACAATATTTATTATATTGTATAAACATGTGTAAGTGTATATTATATTCTAGTCTGCTTACCTCAAGTGTAAGAAATTTGAAATAATTACCACTGACAAGCAAGTAACAATTTATGATTAAAACAATTACTATAAATAACAGTATCACAATACTAATCAATTGTTTTGAATAAAGTAATGATATGCCTTCAAATTCCGAAAAATAATTTATTAGTAGCCACAAACCTATGTTCAAGACAATTAATACAGTGGTACCTTTTGGAATACTCTGTGTGCAAAACTTTATTTCTAGTAAAATGCAAATTATCTGAAACGATTATTAAACTTTTATATACAAATGATTTAAAACGTCTATTGTAAAATGAAATTTATATTCTTACATGACTTAAGAAAAATATGGCCACTGTTATTAAATGAAAATCATATTTTATCATACTACTTATGAGTAATTCTTTCATTCCTTTAAGTGCAGCCTTATAGGAAAGTACAATATCATCTGTTATGTCATTCGTATGATCTTTAGTGTTTAACCAAGCAATATGAAGCTTTATTGCTTCCATATATTTCTGATATGCATCTGTAAGGATGATATAAATGTACTGAATCATTCAAAGTTATGATACATAAATAAATTAGATTACTCACATTCAGATTTATAGTCTGTTAATTGTTGAAAGTGATTGAATACTTGTTTAGCATTGTAGAAAAGAACATATAATTTCTTTGATACAGGTAAATTGTATAAAGAATCTAAAAAGACACTTCCCAAATTGGAGTATGGTATTGGAACACCAAGAATAGTAGACAACGTAGATGCAATATCTACTTGTGCTACTTCAGTGAAATGACTATTGTTTTGTACACATTTTCCACTGATTGCAATGAAAGGTACAGTTGTTTCTGACATTGTCGAGCCACCATGACCACCAGAATCTTTCATTCCATGATCCCCACAGATAATAAACAGAGAAGAATCATTATTTTGATTCTGAAGATAATAAGTTCACACTATCTTTATAAGTATAAAAGAGGAGCTATTGTTTTTTTTTCTTTCTTTTTAATTATATTATAATAATGATTTTCATTAAAGGTAATATAGTGCACATACCCATTCTTGGACTCTTGATTGAATTCTTGCAATTACATTGTCCATTTCTTTAAGTTTCGTTTTAATTAGTGGACTAAATGGTCCATGAACATGACCAATATGATCAAGTCCTAAGTAATGAAGGACCATTATAGACCAGTCAGTTTTAGTATGTAATTCTTTATGTAAATGCCTAGTTATATTATTATCAACCTAAATTTGTAATATTCAGTGAATTACAGAGTACTTTCTACACTAATCTAATGAAGTTTTAAATTCAAAATACCTCTGTAAAATCTGTTACAATGAATGATGTGGTACTGTCATAACGTTCAAATACAGATGGAAACAATGTAAGCCAAGTCTCATCCCCATAAAATACTGATTTGTAGCCATATTTTTTCGCTTGAAGGAGTACATTATCACCAGTAACTGGTTTACTCCCAAAATTTAAAGCAACATCAATGAAACTAGGAATTACACCTGTTGTAATTGCCTATGGAAAATAAAGTATGTGTCTCTTTATATTTTAAACTGTCACAAACATGAAAGAAGAAGATTATGTTGTTTCTAAATATGGCACCTTTATCCTAGGCATTGTAACAGTTGGTGGGTGTACTTTGGTTTGAAACAAACATGCTGAAGAGTTTGCTATAAGACTACTTGTTATAGGCATAGCCACTTTTCCAATTGATCCTGTTATAAAATCCCATCTTAAAGCATCAATAACCATTAGGATCACTCTTTTTACCATTGGTTGATATAATGTATCTGTCTTTATTCTACAAAATTTATTTGACATTATTAAAGAATTAATGCATTTGATAAAAATATATGGACTTCCTCATTTCTTTTATTTTTCTTTATAAAATTGTAACAGCTTACCTCACATTTTCTATGAATGTTGGAATATCATTTTCAGTGGCTATAGTGTTATCATAGTTTATCAAGGGAAAAAATCCATACAAAAATAATACTATTGACAAAGGTGCAATAAAAAGAACATAAAATAGTACAACAATGCTTGCATCTACTTTCTTGTCTGCAATTAAAGAAAAAGAAATGTATATTTGCGAGTAGTTTTAAAATTATGTAAAAATAACATATAAATTGCATTCTTAGTATTACATGTATTTACAAAATTATATATTATTACTGCACCTTTCATTTTTACTAAAGTTATAGATTTGAATGTCTCAAAAGTAGTCTTTATAGTATCACAATTTTATCAGTGTAACACTATCATTTGATGTACATAACTTTAAGGTTACAATACAGGTATACTTAAGGAATGACAATTTCTGAATTAAATTTCCTTGGATATACATTTTCTTTAATGAGTAATGTTTCGTAATTTCTATTCTTCTAATGTTATTCTGTTTAAAATCGTAAACAGTGACTATCGAATTACATTTAATTATAACAAAAATTTGCATGCCTTGCGCGCGGCAGACATTATCTACTGCTCCGCGCAGGAGGCAGTGTCACAAGTCTTACATGTACAGGATACAGGGTGTCATGTAATTGGTGATACAACTGGGTACGGATGATTTTACGTGAAAAAATGAGTCAAAAATATACAATAAAATACTTTCTTTGAGACTTTGTTACCTTAAAGTCGATTTTCTTATTGCTAGTTAGAAAATCAACTTTGTAGTAAGTAGAAACAGAATACAATGAACAGACGCGCTAGCCAAGTCCTATTCAATTACACTACACGTATTCAGCAGATTTTCAAAGTCGATTTTCTCGAAAACGATGTCTCAATTAAAAAAACTTTATTCTATATTTCCGATTTACTTTTTCACGTAGAATCACTCCTTACCCAGTTGTACTACCAGTTACATGACAACGTGTATAAAACTACAATCCAAAACGTTTTTTACTACAGAAGTCATTTTCAAAAATATTTCCTAATGTAGGTTTCACATGCCAAATAATAAAAAGGAACGTAATATTATTGTGTAATTAAAATTGCAACGATCAATCCCTATTCATCAATTCGCTACACGCGGGGAAGTCCAATAGGTTGTACAAGGCTTACCAACTATTTAGGCGGGAACTTAATAAAATTCTTTGTAAATAATTTTTTACGAGAAAAATCTTAATGTCTCTTTCATTAGAATTTCAACGTTTTCACAATGTTGTAATTTAATTTTTCATGAAACTAAAAGGCATCATTTCACAGAAGGAATACTACATAATGCATGTACTTCGCTAATAAAACGTGAACACAATCCGATCAATAAGTCTAAGCGGACTTTATTTTATCAAGTAGAATTCACTCAGTCAGTGGACACCCGCAGCGTCGCATTATGTATCGGTAATCAGAATTTTCTACGAAGCACAGTTTCTTGCTTTTCACCTCTAAGTTAAACTATCGCATTATTTGGCTCATTTAATATACCGTGAGTATTTTAAAATCAAGGAAAGCAATCGTCTTCTATACCCTACAGATCTCTTGGTTTTTTACTACTTCTCTTAATTAAAGGCAAGAATTTTAAGTAGTTACTCTTATTAAAATTAAAAAGATATACCTTATTCCAATAAAAGAAAATTTGAAAAATAGTTTGTTAAAAAATATCTGCCAAATTTTAATGTCATTTCAGAAGGAAATGGCATCAATAGAAGAAAGCTGGAAAGATGCAACTGAGGCTTTAAATAGTGAAGTCTGTGATACATGGCTCACAAAATTACAGGAAGCCTATTCTGAAGAGAAGCGTACTTATCATAATTTAGATTCCTTACGGGAGAAGTTGAATTGTTACTATGAGATCAAAGATAATTTGAAGAATCCCCAAGCTGTGCTTCTTGCCTTATTCTTTCAAAAGTAAGTCCTGCTATAAAATAAAGTAAATACATAATACTGAATAAATTTTAATTCTGTTATAGCTTTGAGTATGACCCCAAAGCTTTAGATGGTGAGAACAAGAGTCTTGATCATTTTAATGCATTTGCAGATGAAGCTGAAATTGCTCCTGTAAGTATCACTTAACAGTATAGAATTGCTACTGTCAACAATGAATTTTGAAATAAGGGTAGTAATATAACATTGTCTGTACACATAGGATGCAGAATTAAGAGAGGAAGCTAGTGAGCTTCTTAAAGTAGCTGCAACGCATAGTACAGATGCTCATAAAGTTGGAGGTGCCTTTGGTGGTGAAGATGCTCATTACTTTTTAGATTTGGATATGGCTGTGTTAGGTTGTTCTCCAGAATGCTATGGAGAATATAGGGAAAAGATACGTGGAGAATATTCTTTTCTGAGTGAGCCAATGTATACTGCATTGCGTTTGAAGGTAAATTACAGAATAATAAATCATTCAAGTATACACAACTTTTTCATATATTTGTTTATGTGCATTTTTAAAAAAATAGGTGCTACAAAATTTTGTGCAAATCCCAAATATTTTTGCCACAAAGGAATTTCGTGAAAAATATGAAGAACAAGCACGGCAAAATATACAAGCTGAAGTTGAATTGTTATCTTAGAAGAATCAATAAATTTGCTGTATTGAGAATTGTATATTTACAAGTCATTTGATCGAATGTATTCATTATTTAATTATAAGAAAAGATAAGGTTCCCATTGATGCAGAACTCTTTTACCGTATCAGTAGTATTTGATTTTTATGTAGACTAAAGTAGCATAAATGTATATTTTCAGTATTAGTGTTTAAAGTGATTTACGTGAAAGTGCTACATAACAATAATGTATAACATTATTAGATAAAATCAGATACATTCATGGCTGATATTTAGCTTTTAAATTATCTGATTTATTTCATCTCTATAACTAATAATGAGGTATAACATAAAACTAATAGGAAGCAAATTAAGAATCTCATGCTTCTTTTTAATAATAAGCCTCAGACATGAATGTGTGTATTTTTTTGTATTTATATTGTATTAAAGACTTATTTCAATTAAGTTTATTTTTTTTAGTTATTAAAACTTATTTTTTATTTAATTATTAATTCAATTTTGTTGATTAAGTTTATTTATATTTTGGATATAGAATTTTGTTTAAACATTTACAGTTAAATGTAAGTTTCTACTTCTTAATGAATGTTACATGGGTATAACATTTGTAACTCAAATATTACCAAATTTGTATTTAACTTGAAGAGGAAGAAAAATTTTAAATGTTATTGTTATATTGAAATAAATATTAATTAATGTCAGGATTATATAATGTCTATACTGCAAAACAATGGCAAAAATATTGTCAATCTGTCATATACACAATGTACTTTATTTAATTAATTAGGTCAGTAAATGTTTAAGTATGTTATTACAAGATACAAAAATATATAAATATTAAAGTGTTATTTGGTACCTTGTGTAATTTTACATGTTGAAACATTTGTGTGTGGAGTGCAACTAAATACATGTAACAACTCATAATTTACTATTATAAATAATTACAGAGTATGGATAATGCTTCATGGTAGCATTATAGAAAAAGTTCCATACTTTTGTCAAACATGTACAACATACAGATTATTCGTTCATACAGAAGCTTATATACGTATTTGTTCAGAAACTGATATCGTATAATACATATTTCAAAAATATCCAACTGCTTTCCAGTTACACTTGTACAAACTTACTCAAATAAAATTAGGGAAATGTCACGTAATAAATGTTTGAATAAATTAAACTAACCTTTGTACGTCGCTGTCTTCTTCGTTTGATTTCAATTCGATTCCAAGCATAATACACAATAACATTTTATTTAATTAACACTATTTGATTAATTATGAGTTACATTCGTAAAGCTACATGATACTTCAAATATTGTCACTACTTAAACAATTCATACATTCGTACAAACTTCGAACGCAACACCACGCAACACTGTCAAAAGACGCGGTTTCAAGAATACAATAATCGCTAGAGTTCGATAATTAGTATCACTTCGATATATTCCTTAAATCGATACAGTTTGAAATACTTGTATCTATTATATATTTAAAAAAAGTAATACAATGTATGTTTTTAGAAGGTATATACAAAAGGCGTAGAAATTCATTCGAAATTACTAACAATAACACAATTATGAACAATTTTACGAACAACAAATATAAATAAATTACTAATAGTGTAACGCTTAATAATTTATTCATTTTGAAATACTGGGAAATATTTAAAAATATGTTTATTGATTTCGATTTGGTCCATTATTGATTAAATAATTTTGTTTCTTTCTGTTACCAAGTAACCTCATTCACTATAAAATCGTATCTCGGAGATACCACTAATATAAACATTTTTAGTACAAGTAGAAAAATACTTAATTGTTTATACTACTCCTAATTGATACTCGTACTCTAATCGTAAACTACTGTTAATCGATACCTACGATCTCTAAAAGTTCTCTAAATAATACTGTCATTAGACCCATATATAATGCCCCTTCTACTCGATGTGAACGATAAAAATCAAGATAATGAACGGGAGGTAAGTAGAATCTTAATTTACTTTTTTATAAACGTTCTATTTAATTATATTTTTCCAATTTAGTTTTTTTAACTTTTTTACTTCGCCAGGCACCGAAATATCAAAATAGTTATCGTTTGGAAGCTTATAATCCTTTTAAAGTAGATGCAGTGGATAAGATTGTGAAAATGACAATGATTAATAAACTTGAAGACATCTCTTATGATGCTGCGGTGTGTCCAGAAGTTTGCAAATCGGTGGCAGGATATATTAGAGAGAAAATAAAACGATTAAACTTTGACAGGTGATCAAATTTATAGAACGATTCGTTTTTTAAAAATAAGAATGCATATTTTAAGCTAATTAAGTATGATATTATTTCTACGTCTACCCTTAGGTACAAAATCATAATCAATGTAACTATTATAGAGAAGACGGGTCAATCTGTGCAAAGTTCTGTTGGATTCCTTTGGGATCCTGAAAAAGACAATTATTCTACATTTACTTACGAAGCTCGAACATTTCATGCTTATTGTTGTGTATTTGGTCTTTATCACGAATAAACTCAGTCAGTCAAATATGGAAATTATTATTAGTCATTTCGTTTACATTTTTCTATAGTATTTGCATCTTTTACTTTCATCGTGGTGATAACTTTAATATTTTACATATCAAAGAGTGATAAAAAGATTGTTATATCAGTAAGAAATGATTACATATGTTTGTTTCCAATAATAATCAACAGGCATGCGTATGGCTTCGTTTCATTGTGTTCTTTTACGTTACAAATTGTATTATCTCGATAATTAGTTCTTGGTAACTGTACTAAAAAACACGCGATCCTAACTTACGTCTGTCTTTTGATATGATAATTCTTCTAATAATTGTCACATTTGGTCGTCTATTAACTCTAATACACGGTACCACCCGAACTATAGAATTGATTATTCGAAACACCTTACAAAATTCTATTTGGATACAAATATCATTTTAATTTTAACATTATTGTGAAATGCTGACATAATAATGTTAATGTTTATAAAGAAGAATTGTTTCAAACATAAACATGTTTTATTCCATTTATAAACATAAAGCGTGTTTGATAATTTGCAATTATCACTCATAATTAATTATTCGATTCTCGATTAACGCGGCTAGCATCACTTATCTGTTGTCGCAGTATATAAAATTAACCTTACAAGTTGCTTAAATGTCTAAACTTTATATATCTTATGCATAAACAAAATTAAAATATAACTGTATATTCAACTTTTTAAATAGACATCATTTTTTAACGTTCAGTTCAGTTTCCTATCTTCTATTCGAACTTTTATTCTCTGGGATCAATTATGCGAAGAACCGGTTATCGAAGTAATGATTAATTCGTTTATTATCCTGAAGAATCGAGTAACTAGACAGTTTATAAATATTAATAAATACTGTTGATTTTTGTTTATATAGTCGGTGTTTCATATTCATTATATCAGATCTAGGACATATGTTCAAAAATGGTTTATGAGATCTCATTAAGTATCAACGTTCTTGACGAATCATATGTTTCACTGTGGTAAGTTTGTTGCTATAAAAGAGGAATACCGAAGCGTTAGTGACATTCTTATCTTTCCATCGCACGGCACACTAGACAGGTAAGGTAAGCGATCAGTTCTTGATCATTTCCTTCAGCAATCACACGTAAGCACTGAGCCTCTATTATTTAATTCTGTAAATATTCTATAAATCTTTAATATTTATAATACTTATAAATAAAACCATTAATAACTAATAAATAACTAACAAATAACTGATAAAATAACTAATACATAGTAATATTCATAACTAAAAACATTTTTACATTTCAAAAATGGAAATAAAGTAATCTATACATATAAATAATATAACTTATAAAACATTCAATAACAGCGGTGCTGGGATAAAGTAATGAAATATAAATTGTAGTGAAGAATTGCACAGGATTTATTTTTAAACTATATAACAAGTTTTCTTGATTGCAAAAAATAGTTATCTATTTTATATCTAATTATAGGACAAAAATAAACAAATGAAAGATCAGTTTCAATATTAGAAGAATGTTGGATATAAAATTCTTTACAATACTAATTGTACTCGTATCATTCGAGTATCAATTAGTTTTAAGTGATGCTAGTAAAAATTATTGCTATTCTGAAGATGAACATCCGTATTTATACGCTGCTACGAAAACGGCATACGGTTTAACTCATGGTTTAATACGAAATACTACTGTGCCAAGTAAGTATTAAAAGTTTTACAGACTGTGATTGTAGGTACTTAAGTTTACGATTCGCTTTTAATACAATTTGCGTGAAATTATCTTTGTAGACTGTGAGGCGAAGCAAATTTGGATGTTAGGAAGACATGGAACTCGTTACTCAGGAGAGGAAAATATTGAAAAGATGATAACTCAATTACCAGAACTTCAACTTAGTATTATAAAAAATCATGAACTGGGACGTGAGTACTGTTTGAAATTATGTAGATACAAACTATACACTAGGGTACATACATGACTTGTTCTGTGACAGTCTTGAACATGCTCGGTGACCAATTTTTTTTTTGATTAAATTGTTCATTTCTTCTCCACAAAACTAATATATTATTTATTTTATTAATACGCATTTTGTCGTGGTATCCATTTAGGTATTTTTAGGGTATATACATATGTACATACAGGTGTTCACTCTAACATATCTTTAGATAACGATAATGTAACATTAAAAATTATTAATCAAAGTTTGTCCGTGTTGATTGGACAACTTATAACGATAATAAACATATCAACAATACATTTTTTTCAGTGAAGTTTATCTTGGATTTTTCAAATGAAACCATATAATTTTTTCCCATTATATCGTAGCGGACGTTAAGACGAATTTAACCAGTACCAAATGTGACACTTTTATTCACACAATACTAAATATAAAGCAGTGGAAGTAGTGATATAGATTTGTAAATTTAGTATTGTGTGAATAAAAGTGTCATATTTTATACTGGTTGAATTCGTTTTAGTGTCCCCTACAGTATAATGGAAAAAAGTATGATTCAATTTAAAACAAAATCAAAGCTACCTTGGGTTCATTATAAAAAAAATGTACTTTTGATATGTTTGTTATCGTTACACGTTGTCCACTCAACACAGATAAATTTTAGTTAATAACTTTTTTTATTACATTATCGCAAACGGCTGACAAATCGTGAGGACTGTTCAAATGAACGCCCTGTGTGTACACAGCTGTAGAAACGTTGTACAGGCCACTATTTTCTAAAATTCCATTTCTGTTTTGTGAATATGACAGCAAACCTTCTGATCTATAGAGCTTTGTCACTTTCAAATCATCATCGTTCGTTCATGGAATCTTTAATCACAGTATAACAATAACACTATTCAAATACAATATGGAACACAATATTAGTATGTGCGATTTACCACCTTCAAAAGCGAGAACACACATAATCGGACAACATAAGGTGAAGCAGTTTGTCAATTTTTTTTCCAAGACTTTCGATATGTACTCTAATGTGTAAATAGTTTAAGAAACGTTATAGATATTGAATGGCTACATCATTTAACATTGTAATTGTAAATGGGGTTCTTTTTTTATTACTTCCTAGTATCATCTGCTATTAATTTATTTTTAATTTCTAGGCGGAAGCTTATGCAAGGAAGATATCAGGAACTTGAAAGCATGGAAGCTAGATCCAAATTTTAGCACAGATAAGAAAAAATATTTGACGACACAAGGTGAAGAGGATTGGAGATCACTTGGAGAACGATACAGAAGTTATTTCCCCAGCCTTTTGCGCTACGATGATTCAAATGATGTACCAGTGAAAAATTTCAGAGTATGTACCTGTTACCATATATCACCTAATTACATCCATTATATTTTAATATTAACAGTTTCATGTACACATTATTTGAAGAAAAAGTATTCTGAATATAATTAATTTTTACACAGTTCAGGTCTACCGATAGTCAACGAACTAAAGCTAGCATGAACTTCTTCATTAAAGGTCTCTTTGGCAATGTGACTGCCAGGACCGAAGTAGTACCAGTAAATGAGGATACTTTGTTGAAGGTCTGACAGAATAGAAGACGAAGGTTTTAGCGTAAATTTCAATTTTATTTATGGAAGTTTACTTTACTTTTAGATTTACGGAATTTGTAAACCTTGGAAAGAAATCATGAAAGATCCATCAACTAACGCTGAAGTCAATGCTTTCTTGACTGGGCCGGAGTACACCAAAGCAATTCATGAAGTCAGCCAACGACTCGGCTTTGAAGACGATCTTCCATTTGGTATGATTTCTGTCAGAAGAAATATAGAACCATATGCAATAGAAGGAATTAGTTAGTGGAACTCAAAAATATAATTTCTGGGACTGTCAGAGTCATCAGCCGTGTCTTAGGCCTATGTCCTATTTGATTCTCTGCAATATTGGCGATTTTAGTCATCGCACAAAAGCGATGGCAGCTAGATTCATTCGGATTCGTTGCATTTTTGATTGCTTTAGTTTCTATCATTTGGACGACTAATTTCGGTTACTTCTTTTTGTCTTTAACGACGGTTAGTTTTGTTGCTTCGATCGGCCGCGACATTAACAAGGGTCAGGCGATATCAAAGTTGAACGTACAGATATAATTACAATAATGAAGGTTGAATGACTTCATTCAACGCGGAGACAGCACCCGCGCGCGTGCGCGCGTGTGTGTGGCTAAGAGTAAAAATACGAATCGGTGGCACATGACACGTCCTTCACGATTTTTTAGTGGCAACGTACGTGCTAATGGTAGTTCTGTCAATAGCATAATTAGCTGAGTGACACTCCCACTTTTTTCGGCTTTCTAAAATTCTTTTTAACGGGCCCAGAAGACCCGATTTTACAAAAATAAATATTTTCATTAGAAGAAATAAGTTTCAAAATTTCCTTTTTTTAGACCTAGTTCTGACCATGCACACTACATGCGTCTTCGAAAAAGCATGGAACATTGACAAACTGTCTCCTTGGTGTGCTGCTTTCACAGAGGATGTATTAAAGATATTTGAATACGAAGAAGATCTTCATTATTATTACCATGCTAGTCATGGGCAAAGTATGAGCGCTAAGATCGGATGTGCACCTCTGCAAGATATGTTCAAGCATTTTACGTGAGTTTCCACGATTGAAATTGTATTTTTATTACATCGAAAACATATTCAATTTCTTCTATATTTTTCAATTTCAGAAAACTAGAAGGAACTACGAAGAACAACCTGGAAGGTATTTTCTACTTTACTCATAGTTCAATGGTACAATTATTTTTAACATCGATGGGAATTGCAAAAGATTCGACACCTCTGAAAGCCTCGAATTTTGAAACCATGAAAGACACTAGAAAATGGCGGACTACCTTTCTTGCTCCATTCGCTGCAAATTTTGCAGCTGTTTTCTACAGGTACGTATACTTTAATGTATATAAATTTTAATCCAATTAATTTAATTCATGCACTTGTCCTCTATTATAATTAACTATTGATTTCAGTTGTGAATCCTCGAACAAAGTAAGGTTGTTCTTAAATGAGAAACCTTTAGAAGTGGAAGGCTGTAAAGACGGTGTCTGTGATTGGGAATATTTAAAAAAGAAATGGGAAACTCCTGGGTTCGATTGTAACACAGACTTTTGTACAGAGTAAATCTTTTGTACATAGCTACATAGATAACGACTCCATGTTTCAACTCAATTTATTCTGAATAAAACGTAAATAATCGTAGTTTACGATTTTCGTAGACTACGCATTATCTAGTTGACAACATTATACTTGATTCATTATTGTACCGAGAAGAAGAGCAGGAGTTCAAATTTCAGCACACTTTTGTCGGTCTGACAATTTGCACGGTCAAATCAAACATGTCCATTTAAATATTTCGAAAGTAAATTACGTAAAAGTGTATAATGAGGTAAGAACGAAAAACGACTGCGTGGAAATGATTACCAAGCGGCTTTTGTTATCAATTGTGTTGAAGAAATTACACTGTCATAACGCGTATGATTCATATGTGCACACTTTGGAAGCAACGAAGCTCGACGACCTTATATTACTGTCACATAAGCTGGCATGATGAACGATGGGCCTCATGCGTTCAAACGTATTACAATTCAACGACATAACAGTTTATATACAGGGTGGGGCAATAACTATATCCACTTTGAATATTGCCGTTATTTGTAATAATATGAAAAAATGTTATATACATAACTTTGTGGTAGTAAAATAAACAAATTGTGGTAGTAAAATAAACTTTCTTACATCACAGAAGATGCTTGAAGTGGTGACCGTTTGCATCAATGCAAAGTTGAAATCTCCTCTATGCCTTCACCCACGAAAAAAATGTTTGTGTCACAATATTCCCCCCTATATACCGTGTAAGTTTTGTATATAACATTTCTTCATATTATTACAAATAACGGCAATATTCAAAGCGGACATAGTTATTGCCCCACCCTGTATATATTGTCCGTGTTTCTAAGTGGTATTACTATTAGTACAATGTCAGTTAATCATTTAATCAGTGTGTACTTACCGTTATTCAATTGTTTCCAAATTATATTATTTGTAGATAGATTTTATTCAAAGCAACACTATTGAAATGAAAATGCTTAAATTAATGTATTGGAATACAAATACGTACAGATTTTATATGATGAGTTCAATTTAATAATCGTTCTGAAATACAACGAGAATATTAATATTTGTGAGTAGCAGTATATCGGCCTGTAAAATGTATAATACCCAATTTAATGATCTCTTTAGTTTCATTGGACTGTTATATTACAGTTTTAACAGAGAACCACTTGCATAGAATGTTCAGGTGCGACGCAACGAAGCTTGACGACCTTATGTCAGTGCCACCTGAACTTCCGTGACGAATGGTCGCCATGATTGGAGATGTATACTCTCAAATAAATTGCAGTCGGTATTAATTCAACGCCTAGGATAAATATTATGTGACAAGCGTGGACAGTATTAACACAGTTATCGCGTAATAAAATGTCATAAAAATTAAATTTAAAAAATTAATAAATATCGAAAATTGAGTGTTTTCTTACGAATTTCGCTCAGCTACCTACATGGTTTGATTACTAATAGTTATGATATTTACCACAATAAATGTTTTTTATTTAGCACTTCGTTTTTTTAGTAGATAGCCAATCCTCTTTGTCCTGCTGATCCCGGTCATATTATTATGAAAATATTTGAAATAGGTAGCCCTAGCTGTAGCCGTCGAGCAAAAAGACGACCAAAAAAAAAAGTCTGTCAAAGATAAAGAAAATATACGATTGTTCTACTTCGTGTGTTTTGAGCCATAGTCCGATCCCCCGTCCGCGAAGACTGGATACAGTGCAGCCAATGTACCAGGTGGACACACGACAGAGATAGGCATTATTTAGATAAAAAATTATTTAAATAACTGTTCGAATAAAAATTACTTTATCTTTATTCGTTATTCGTAGCACGAATAAAACGCTTCGAATAAAATGTTCAATTTTGATCTGTAACTTTTATTCGAAGGCTTCGAATAACTTTGGCCAGCTCAAATAAACGTGCTGGCGAGCGTCGCGCGTCGAACGTCAAAGACCAAATGAGATAAGAAATGACGCATGAATGAAACTTAAAATTTTTATAATTTTCAATATATTTTAATGAAAGTGTCATGGATGAATTGAAGAGATTCACCCGATGCAAATGAGTCCAAATTCGAGTGTAATTGAATAATTTTTACTTATACGTAATGTTGCGATAAAAATGACATATTATTGAAAATAGTTCGAATGATGTCGTGTTTAACGACTGTTGTCGTTAACGTTACCGTAAACAATGTTTATGTTTTACGAGTGCCATTTTGTTATCTTTCATTCGCTATTCGAAATTTTTATTTAGATACAAATTTTGCCCAACTCTGCCCCACGAAGGCTGCACTACATATGGAGGTTTTGACAGTTATTTCTGTGACGATTGCCAAGATTGATGTTGAGTTATTTAATAACATTCACATTACCCAGGGGGTAGCGCAAAGCGGATTGATTGACTTACTTAATGTTTTTGAATCTAAAAAGGTTTAAATCTTTCAGTTATCAATTTTTTCTTATTTTATTTAAATGTCGCTTCATTTTAAATGATTTTTACCAAACCTTTTCACATCCGCTTTGTCCGGGATTCTCGGCCCCTCATTCCGTTTAATGATACTAACAATTCCTCTCAACTCATTATTTCAAATAACTTATTGTTTTTTAAATCAGTTATACGATTTATCTACTGAAAAAACTGCTCGATATGTTACAATCGTAGAAGGTCACATCTGATGGCATTAGAAGTCGTGACAGAATTCCATAACGAATATAGTATAGCAGTTTGTCTGTAATGGAGGATGCATGATCGCAACTGCTTACGTCATAGAAGAAAAATCACAGTGACGAATTGCTGAATTTAATGGGACATTCTATTATTGCCTTATAACAATGATCACATGATACTTAAGATAAACGTAATGCTCAAGCCTTCTTCAAGCGTTATCATTTTTATTAAAAAATTTCGAAGTTATACAATCGAAAAAAGTACCCTTCAAAAAAACATTTAAACGTATGGCTACATGTCAAGTAAATTAATGTTTAAAACTACGAATTTTAGCCGATAATTTGCATTATTCTTATTCGTGTATAGTCTTGTGTATAGTTTTTTTTTAAATAAATTTTTTAGAACTCAATGAGAGTCTTCGCCGATTTCTGTAAATCATTCTCAAAATCTCGAAACAGCGTTGTGCACGCAACATGGAAAGCCTGTGCTTACAGTTCGTGTTTTTTTCGTTCATTAAAGAAAGAAGAGATAATCTAACGAGCGAATTTAACGCAACGCAGAGGGTCCTGTTTCACCTGGCCTTTTATCGATCGTGCGTGCTCGAAGTAACGAACCTTTACGATTTTATGGAACTCACGAAATACTATGCTGTACCAGGAAAGGATCAAAGGCTACACTCCATGATACACTGTTCAGGGGAACTCTATTGCTGAAACTATACGAGTTTTACACACAGTATACGTTAGAACCAACGAAGCTCGTCGACCTTACGGCAGTGCCACACGAGCTACCGTCTCGAAAGGTGATCACGATCGGCATAGGGACAGTGGTACACTCATTTCACGATCCTTCCACTGTTCGTTTATACTTTAAGCGGTGATACAGTGCAAGTGATACAGAGCACAATCGTCAGAATTAAAGCAGAAACGTCGACACTCCCGTTTGTCCATTCGCAAGTTCGTGGATTTTTCAAATTCGTACCCGCCATTCGGATGTTCTCCGTGTAAAGAGAGGAATACAAATAAATTGATAACGACACGAATACGGAATTAAAGAGGATTTTCTTGTCCCTCTGATAATGTAAGTTGCACTCGCAAATCGATTGTGCTCCGGTGTTCGTGAAATCGTGGAACATTTTTAAGAGTCACTTAACTGGAATCAGAAGCAACAGAACAGCGCACCTACCGACCGAGGAAAAGTGAAAAGTTAGTACTGTAATTCTCACTCTCTCTTTCCAGTTCCTTCCTTAGGGTCTTGTACTCGATTTAACGCGCCGAAACAGGGCGTGAAGATAAATACCGGTCTTGGTAATTACACCAATTTCTTAATGAAAGTAAAAGTTCTCACTTATTACTGTACATAAAACTTAATTATCTTTCTACCAATTGTCTTAAATACGCCAACTAATGTTACACTTTGAATTTTTTTGTTCAGTTCTGTAAACAGTATTGGTTCCTCCTTCTATGTAAGATTATTTATTACTAACTTGCACAAAAGTGTTACGGCTTCGAAATATCATTTTTGAAAACAGAACTGTTAACTTTTTTGGAAATTTGGGGTTTAAAAAATATTATAAAATTTTGTAACGCAATTGATTTAAATTGTGCTCATCTAATTTTCAATCGAATAATGTTATTATACGTTTCATATTGTATCATTATGAAAGAACAACGTTGAAAAACGTTTGATGGCAAGAGAAAACTATTTGAGGCAGGTCGGGAGAGTTCCCCAGCCCGGATGGAAGTGGAGCATTGTTTTAATAAAAACCGTTTCATTCAGCTTACAACCAAATTCCGATTACGCATTCGAGTGGAATTTCATTTGAATAAATAAACTCGTCCGTGAATAATTAAATCGTTGAATGGTTGTGGCAAGGATCGCCGAGCGTAACGTTTGACGTCCTACTTCTGTTATCAATTATCAATTAGAGGATACTGTCCACCGATGTTTAATTGCGTGATGGTACATTATTCTGTTCTTCTTCGTGACTGAAGATGATTGGTTATGTCAGTCTAAAAAGGAACAGTAAAATTATCAGATATTAATGATACAGATAAAGAACTGCATTGTCTGTATTGAGACCCAACGTTAATTAATTTGAATTTCTCTGTAATCTTTCTTCCTTGACCAAATAACTACAAAGAAATTCTTGGTACTAATACTATATTAATTGATTTTCAACAGCAGTAGTAATCATTGAAGTTTTGTGGTAAAATCAGATCAGTACTACATAAGGTTACACGTCAGTTGGCACTTGCGGACACGAGACATTAACAATAAGTAGGCCAAGTAGACTTATTAGACTGAAAGAAGGTTTTGCTAATCGAGCCACTACCTATTACGTTATCCTCGGTGATACTTACTCTTGAATTGTTCTTTCAACAGCGTTCCGCCTTCATAGGTCCTTAATGATTTCTAACAAAAATTGCAGAACAATTTTATGAATTTTATCATTTATATATCACAACTACCGGATGCCCGATTTATCAAGCTATTCCATAAGTATAAAGCAAAAAGAATATAAAAAATGGGAGTAATTTTTTCGAATGAAAGAACATTATGAATTTTTTACTTCGTAATATATGGACGCTTTTAGCCGCGCGAAAATATACAGATTCAAACTAATTCATTTAACGTGTGTCGCGTCAACAATTAACAACTGGAGGTTCAAATTCAGACGGCGAATCTTGATAAAAAGAGAACAAATGTTACACTTTCAAATTACTTACAAGACTTATCATATTATAAGGTCTAGTACTTCAGCGGAACCTGTTTCTAGCCCGGGGAATTACGCAATGTACTCGCTGGTGTGTGTAACGTCTGTGCACATCTTAACTTTCACATTCACTTCCATATTTCGCGTTTATCCTTAACCTTGATGCACTATTATCCGCAGCATGCAGCTCTCGAACCAGCTTCTTAGCGAACATCATTTAATGTGTATCGTTGGTGTATGAAGTTTAAACCTGAAGTTGCGCTCCAGTATTTTACGGTTAAATTATTATTAATATTTTGATTGCTAAATTGCTGCTCGGATGCGCATCAAGAGTGATGTTGATTGAAGGACATAGTATCATACGCGTATGTTGATTTATTGATTATATAAGTCGTAAGGACACAAGGATAATTTACTCCTTATTCTTTCTTCCATTCAAATGGATAAATATCCTTCCGGTTATATAATAACAGTAGGTTTAGCCGGTTACAATTCACAACGCCGGTGGTAAAGGAACGAATGTGACATCAGCACAGGAAAATGTAGGTTTACTTGCCTGGTGCGCTTCAACGAAGCGAAGTAGTAAAGTATTTCGTACGATCGTCGAGTTATGTGCAGAACCTTGTCAACCAGCAGTCAATCGTGTCAATTTCGAGGAACAAAACTCAAAATTAATATCGGATCGAGAACATTCGTATTTGTTTTTTGATAATTTTCATTCTTGTTTGTCGTTTCAGATATAACAATGAATTTTAAAATGAACGCGTCCGTGTTATTCCTGGTTATCTTACTAAATCTCGCGTATACACGCGATGTTGACTACTGTTTCGCGGATGAAAATGATCCGTACTTATACATGGCTAGCAAAACTGCCTACCATTTTGTCCATGCTGGAAAAACTCGGTTTCAAGACGTACCAAGTGAGTCTATAACAAATACGTAAATATTTAATATATGCAAAAGCAAAACTTCAATACTGCTTTCCAATGATTTCCCAGACTGTCATGCGGAGCAGGTGTGGATGCTTGGTACCCACGGTACCCGTTGCCCAACGGAAATGGAGATCACCGAAATGCTTTCGTTAACAGAAATTCAAAGTCAAATAATCAACAATCACGAATCACGAGGCAGTAAGTAAATTTGTTCGTCTGTATTTGCATAGTCCTACACTCTAGCGAAACAACAGCGAGGAATAAGAGCTGCGAACGAAGTCAAAATGAATCGAAATCCAGGTTAAACCGGAGCCGACTCGACCTGTTGTTTAAGGGTAACACACTATAGACTGTACCAAAGCAATTTCATTGATCGTTAACAAAAGTTACAAGGAAACGTCGCTCCCATCAAAGCAGAAGCGAGTAAACCAGACCGCGGCTAATTCAGGTCATTGACACTTTTTCGTATCGATCTTTTCCATGCGTCGTTTCACGTACTGATCAATATACCGGCACTTACGTTGGTGTGCCTTAGATTTATTGATTCCATAAACATGTCTTTCTATATTAGAACATGCGTAGGTCACAGTTTTGCCGTTACTAAATCGTATCCACGGAATATATGATGACTTTGCATTTATAGATGTTTTGCTATATACATATATACCATATATATATAACAATATACGTCTTTCGTAAATTTTCTTCGTAGACGGTCACATGTGTGACAGGGACTTGGAAAACTTAAAAAGATGGAAACCGTCCGAGTATCTTCTGCCAGCAAGAGCGGAAGTTTTGACACCGCAAGGTGTAGAAGATATGAGATTGCTCGCTAGGCGATTGCAAAGCAATTTTCCTCAGCTTCTACCACCAACCAGTAGAAATATAACGCCGGAACAATACACGGTACATATAACAGCCACGAAAAACGCAATATCTATGCTTTTCTTTTTATAACGAATAAATTATGTTCCAGTTTAAGACTGTGGATGCTCAGGACAGTATGGCGTCATTCATGGAAGGACTGTTCGGGAACAGAAATGCCGCCTTCGCGGAAGAAGTTTCTATCAACGACACTCTACTCTCCGTAAGTAATTGAGATCATTAGAACGATAAATAGGATCTGTTAATTCTCGTTGAAGCATCGTGAACCGTTCCGACGCGAATTTTACGGGAAAAAGTTATCGCTATTTTTCTCCGTTCCAGGCTTATAAAACTTGCAATGCATGGAGTAACGAGCAGAACAACGTCTCTACGGTTGAAGTGAGCCGATTCGAGGAAGAACCGAAATTCCAGAGCCTGATACAGAATGTCAGCCGACGTTTAGGATTCTTGTACAATATCTCGAAACGTGAGTCGTACACCCTGTCTCGTGTGTCCTGTTGTTCGTTCGGTGACAGTTTTATTGTTACACGTTTGAGTTTCCAGGTTCGATCCTAACGATGTACGATATGTGCCGTTACGAAAAGGCCTGGGCTGTGACGCAACTTTCTCCTTGGTGTGCTGTTTTCAACAAAGAGGAACTCCGTGTGCTGGAATATCGCGAGGATCTCTACTACTATTACAAAGCCGGATATGGACGTGAAATCAATGCACAGTTAGGATGTACGCTTTTGCAAGACATGATGAATCACTTTTGGTAAGTTCAGATTTTTTTTATTGTCTTTTACTAAAATTTCCTTTAATTCTTGCATATTTTCCGATGTTACTTCACCGTTCAGTAATATTTCCGATTGCTTCTTTTCTTAATTCAACGATTTCTTTCAATTCCCTTTTAGGAGAGTGGAGAAGGATACAGACTCGATCGAACCAAAGGGCGTGTTCTATTTCAGCGATATTATAGCACTTCAGAATCTCTTGGCCACGTTGAATATCAATAAAGATCAAACGCAACTGACGGCTTTCAACTACAGGGACATGACTAAACGTCAATGGCGGACGTCGTTTATTTCGCCTTTCGCCACGAATCTCGTCGCGGTGTTTTACAGGTAAGGAATTCTTCTTATAATCGTTTCGAAAGTTCCCGTTGCGAACACTTTGATTCTTCTTTCAACAAACGTTAAAGATACTCCGTCGAAGAAAATACAAGCTTTATTCTTTTCTGATGGGTTAATGGGCCGCTGTTGTATATTTTCTTTTCGAAAATACGGTTGAAGCTCGATGTAGATCGACATTTCTGGTAAATCTCGATCGTGTATTGGGCTGTCCCATAAGTCCTTGCCATTTTCGACCAGTTTTAGTTTTATTTCGTATTTATGAACATTTAATTTTTATTCTACGATATAATCACTATCATTATTAATAACATTCAGCCATCTGCTCGGCAAGCTTTGAATGCCTTTTTCTCAGAAATATCGGGGCTGGGATTCAAAAAAGTCACCAATAAACAGTTCTCACTGTTGAGGCTTTCGGGCGTAAGTCGTGTCCTTGTGGAAATGTTTTCCCAACGTTTCGCAAGCATTGCAGCTAGCTTCATCAGGGGGTCGAAGACACACTGGTACTGGTGTGTGCCTTGTGGTGTTCCTTTAATATACTGGAGTTTGGTCATGTTCCGGTTCATTGCTTATCAATCAAAAAGACAAATTTTGGAATTGCTCAGCTGAACAATTAAACAACTGGGAGGAGGGAGTTCCAGATTAGGTTCAGGTGGTGTCCTGTATCCCTGTTGATGCTATTAGGGTGTTTTAGTATTTCCAACGTTTCCAAAAATTCCACAAGGACACGGCTTACACCCGAAAGCCTCAACAGTGAGAACTGTATGATGCCGGATCGTGAAAGCCTCAAATCTCTGAAGTCACCCATATAATTTTTGAGGATGGCATAGTTGTCAAACGTCTTGCAATCAGGTGTCGTTTAAGCGCTCGGAAGAAGTGGTAGTCCATATGTGTAATGTCCAGGCTGTACAGTGGATGGGTTACAATAGACCATCCTAGCTTCTCCAGTTGCTCACGCGTCACCTTTGCGCAGTGAGGTCGAGTGTTATCGTGCAGAAGTTGGACGCCGAGTCGTTTTGGCCGTATTGTTCACACGCTGACTTGCGGAGCTGGTTCCTGTAACAGTTGGCGTTGATCGTCTGGTTAGGCTCCAGGAGCCCCCACAACGGCATTCCCTGCGAGTCGTAAAAGACCGACAGCATCAGCTTCCAACCGTCAGGTAGCCAAAAGGCGTGGCGTGTGTTATTTTCGTAGCGTACTCAGCTTTCATCTGCAGTGATTATTTCCTTAAGAATGTCCTGCCGGTGCGGGCGGAGCAGCAAACTTCGAAAAATGCTGACACGAACTGTTCGATCATGGTCGGTCAAGGCGTGAGGCGTCCATTGCGATATCACTCTGCGGTAGCCCATCGAGTTAAGGTGGTGATCGATGGTTGTACGGTGTTGCCGAAGATCCTTCTCCAAATATCGCGTGTTAGAATCCGGGTGCAGCTCTAGTTTGCCGCGTAGAACGTCTTCGTTGAAGGTAACTGTCCGGCCAGAGCGGTTTCGGCCTTCACAGCTTTATATCGCCCTCATCGAAGCGCTTGTACCAGAAGTGTACAGTCTGATTGGTAGTACCTGGTCCAAATGCAGCGTTGATCTTCTTAGCCGTTTCCATTGAAGAGATGTTAAGCTCATACAACATAATAGCTCGCAGTTGACGTTGCTCCATTTTCGTTCTCTACTTCCCTGTTACGCACGCGTCAATTTATACCCATTACGTGGAAGGTTCTCGCAGATACTCGCACATTCCGGAAACTTCTCAGGCTCGTTCTAATTTAAATACGAGAATGTTCGAAAAACAATGAACCCGGCAAGGACTTATGGGGCAGCCCAGTACTTAATATCCGCGTAACTGACGCTGACTAATGCGGTCGATATGTCGATGACTGGAAAGGGAAGTCATGAATTGTGCGCGATCGTTAATGCCTAGACGAAATGGATAACAAATGGTCAGAAAAAGCATCTATTTCTGTTCACAGATGCGATGGTAATAGTCAACCAAACAAGGTCATGTTTTACTTGGCGGAGAAACTGGTCATGCTTGACGGATGTGACGTAGGGCTATGCGACTGGGAGTATTTCAAACAGAAATTCAACCCGATTATCAATCGTTGCAACCTGAACGTCTGCTGGAACGGAAATGGTGTGGCTGCCTATGTTCCGAATATTCTCCTGATCTTCTTCGCCTGCGTTACGCTAGTCTTTATTCGAAAATAGAACAATATAAACCCGCATATGTATTCAATTATCGATGTTCGTGGGCTCACGAACGATGCATAATCAGTTTAATATCATCAGACGAAACATCTCCGGACGTTTGAAATGACGCCTCGCGAATATTCCTCTGTGCTTTCGACGCGCCAAATATGTATATTTAATATGTACTACATATTTATTTCCTTATTCTACCGCTGTATGCGTAATTTATACACATTTATCGTTGATTATTGTCATTCCCATTTGTTTATACCTCACGTATATATACTCGAGTAAGTTGTATATTATTTATGCCATTCATCCTTTCGAGAACGTCCGTCCGTGTCCGTAGTGGTTGCACAAAATAATACGCAGTGCACTATTGATGTTACACCGCCGCTTGGTATTTTACTTTTGGAGCTTCTAATGTTTACAATATACCTGAGGAGAACATATTTCTGTACGCGTAGCGAATATAAAATCATGAATATTTAGGTAACTCTTTTTTCCCCACGATGTCGTGTATCTTTCGTTTATGTATGTATGTGTAACGTGGCATTCAATTCTCAAATAAAAAATTATGAAACATATTTAGCCGATTATTACTTGAATAACTATTAGAAATGAACTTTTTACTTTGTTCATAATTAAATGTAGTTAATAGACTTCAATAAACGTGGTAAGTGTAATTGAAATTCAATAAACGTTTCTAAGACAATTATCGTTATGATTCAATTTCTGTATATTTTTGACACACGACCTCTTATGTATTTTACATAATTAAAAAGAGAAAGGTCTTACGATATAAGGGCCATAAAATGGGTCTAATTGGATGTTATGAAGCTGTATGATGATGTGAAATCGTTGCACTTAATAAAATTATCATAATTGTAGGGATAATTTAATAATTCGATGAATGCATCGTCAAGGATCATTTGAGAGTTTCTAGGCTATGGTCAATAAAATTTACATTAGGCGTGCAAATTACAGATAAATTGAAGACACAGTCAATTAGAATCAATTGAATACTCCGCCTGCGGGCCGTTTACAGGTGAAATCCGTTAATAAAAGAATCCTTCGACGCTATTTAAACTAATTCTGATTGAGCACAAGTGACTCATGTTTCTTAATTAATGAATGTTTAACACTGTTCTTTTGTTTCTTTTCTGCTCATAGAATGTATGAGAAACTGTCAAAGTAATTGGACAAAGAAGACGAGTCGACGTTAAAAAGAAACAGAAAAACAGTTGGAAATTTACATTCCATAATACGTAGTAATACTTTCCTTGATACTCACTGTATTATTTACAGTCATTTCATAGTTATAAAAATTAATATAATTAATCGTCTTACTAGATAAAATATTCTGTAATAGTCAATATCTAACTCGAAAGTTTTGTATTGATCTGTTCTTTATTAACATTAACAAATTAACAACGAAGTAATTAAGCGACTGACATTCCATGTTAACGTCATGTGAATATATTGCGAGAGGTTCAAAGGAAATGTCACTTGCCACGATGTGCAATATAAACAAATTGGGTGATTGATGAAACCATCGCGAATACTATTAAACAAATGAAGTTTATATTGCTGCACTCTACTTAAATGAAATTTTTATATAAATAGCTCGAGGAAATACGTTTCTTTACATTCAGTCAAGCGTTGACTTTCCACATGCACTTCTGGCTTTGAAACAGTTCAACTGTATTATATTCATCGTTTAGAAATCAAGAAAGAACGAAGAAGAAACATAATACTCCTTGAGACATCGACTTTCAAGTCACTCAACAAGATGTAAGTACTGTAATATTTTATTTCTGCAATAAAAATAATTTTGATACGCTGTATATTCACATAATAACGTAACTCCAACGTACTATCTATGTACGCAAACATGGATATCCATGTTGTAGCAAGTAATGTTTCAGATTTTTTATATTCCCTTTGGCTGAATTAAGGAATTATCTCATGAGGGCTACTTTGATACTGTCAACGTTATTCCTGGCAGCACAGGAAATGAGTCATTCAAAATCCTCGACACCCACAAAACAATTACTCCACCATGTTTTACAAGCGACGAAACCTTTGGACGTACAATTTATTATTCAAGATCTCGCGGAACGAAAATCCGAGGTCGTTGACGATATATACAAAACCGTGGTGGAAATTTTGCCCACGAGTTGCATTTCCTTAAATGATTCGATTCCAGCGGAACTGCCATCTTTTCGCGCGACTCTCGGAACATTAATTATATACATTTACATAGCTGAAAATCCGCCAAATTTTCAACGCACGGAAGATATCATACGTGTGATCGTGTACGGCAACAATCGACCAAAGGTGTTACTGATCACCATATTGCAAGAACAAAACAACAATTTCGAATCGCTCTTGAAGGAAATGTGGCAAAAGAGAATTCTGAATGTTATGGTCTTCGAGCTATCAGAATCTGACGGACACGTAACAGGGATTTCCGTTCATCAGTATAATCCGTTTAGAAATATCTACGATAGAGAACTATATTCATCGAGTGTGCAATTGTTTCCTAACAAATTGGTAAATCTCCATCGTTACCCAATAAAGATACAGCTATTGCATCGTTTAGGTCATCTGAACATAAAGAAAAATTCTGAAGGCTCTATTGTATCTTTGAGCGGCATATCTGAACACCCATTGAAAGCAATTATTCGTATTTTAAACTTCACCCTCATTGCGATTTCCGCGCCATCAGACGTTATATTGAATTCAACTATCGATGTCGAGATGGTGTACCCAGCATTTCCATTTTTTCCTAATTCTGATTATTCAACGGTGGGACGAAGTTTGCCAATGAGGCTCGAGGATTGGTGTCCGATCGTGCCGATTACGTATAAACATTCCGGTTTTTTCAGCAGATTTTTGATCACGTTCGCCGTGAACTGCGTTATCGTTCTGACGTTCTGGGTGACATCGATTCTTATGAAGTTTGCTACGCATCAATGGCAGCCGTTGAAAATTTTCGGTCTGGTGATAGGCACTCCCGTGTCTTCGAACACGAGAAGGGTGCACGAGAGAATTGTGTACATGACCGTCGTTACTATTTCGTTCATTTACTCGTCGAGTCTTTACGCTGATTTGACCACCACCAGCATAACTGCCAACACAGAAGTTAATTATGACAGCTTAGAGGAATTGTATGAATCGGTTTTGACTCCTGGCTTAGTGTATAATGTCTCATACGGACGTTTCGGCGACGAGATAACCCAAAAGATAAACAGAGAGGCGTTGTATTTTAATACAACAGATCGGTGCATTGATTATTTGGTAAAACACAAAAACCTCACTTGCTTTGTAGAGAAGTTAATGGGGAATATGTACGTTAACCAGTACAGGATTAATAATGAACCGATTATAAAGATTCTCAGTCATATTAAGTACTCGAAACCACCAAGTGGATATTACTTTCATAAATATTCGCCGTATATTGGTCGAATTACGAATATTCTAATACGCCTGTATTCGGGAGGACTTTCTAAGAAATGGTACTTCGATCAAATGTATAATTTGTCAATGATACAGAGTAAGAGACTAAAGCGCACAAACAGCGTAGAAGACATTAATAGCGACTCACTGAAGACAAATATTATCTATCTTACATTGTGTGGGTACTTAATTTCGTTATCGGCATTTCTTGGCGAAATAATGGTATTGTATTTGAAAAATAGAAAGAACACAAGGTTACTTTATTTTCACCGGCATGATCGATAAGATGTCGAAGTTGTGTATTCTTTCTTTAAAATATTTACACGTATTGCACTTGTAAACACTTCATTATTATCCGAACGTTCTGTTATCCGAACAGAGTGTCTCCCAGCAAGCCCACAATGTACACTTTCTAGTATTCTAGCAGTTAGGTTACGAATTTTCTGTAATTTAGCAAAAGAAAAGATATAGGATCGATGAATATTTAAACAAGTATTAATTTTCTTGATTTCTGATTAACTAAATGAAATTGAGTATCAGAAAAGTGATTGTTCTACTACCTGACAATTCCTTTATCCGAACACTTATGTTTCCCTATTAGATCGGATAAGGGAGGGTTTACTGTATTAGGATTTTTATAAACGTTGTGACTTATACATATTACGAAAAGCCTATGGAGTTCTAGCATATTTTACTCTATGATTATTTATTACAACATGTACGTTAGTAGAATGTACTTCACGAGCATCAACGTTTATTTATATAACTATTGTAATCATCTAATATTAGGAACATGGAACTTAATGATCCTGTACTTCAACTGTGTCTTGAAATGCCAACTTATTTTCAGCATGTTTGACCCCGTTGCAAAGCTGTAAGAGTTGCCTGTGCAAATAAAATAAGTTAACAAATGAAAAACTGAATATGAATAATTCATTTTGAAAAAGCATATCGATTTCATACATCACTTTCCTTTTTTAAATTATTAGCCATTTTAGTCGAAGCGTCAGGAATCAAACTTATATTCTAGTTGGATAATTTACAAGTTCATAACAAAAATAATAATTGTAATCAAAGTATAATAATTTTATAGAGAAGGCAAGTTTTCCTAGTTTTCCCTTTTGGCATCAATTTATTTGGAATAGGAAGAGGAATTTTTATGAATATTATTCTACAAAAATTTCATTAAAAAAGGATTAAATATGTATTCATTTCATCTCTGTAGTAATCAAATGAAAGATATAAATTTGCGAATAATTTTCTCCACTATTTACTGCGGAGTCAATTAGACTCACATATGATCTATTGTGTGCAACGACGGCTACTTTTGTAGAAATAATAGAGCTTCATCGGCCGTTTTTGGAACTAAAAATATATTTATGCTGTAGATACAATATTGTCTCTCTATAATCGCATTTTGCTGACCTTTTCCAATCCCGTCAATATTCTCACTGTAATAGAAGTAACCGAGTGTAGTTGAGTTTTGCTTTAATCATCTGTCAAAGAAACGATCGCAAAATCACGCTCACTATTCTCTATAAATACATTCCCAGTTCCCAATGCTGTAACTATACATAGGAAATACTGTACTCCTCGAACAATTATTCAATACTATCAATTCAATTTTCAAAATTTTCGATGTATTTTTTATAAATTCACTTCTCTATGTGATTGTATACAACTGAGAAAGAGCTAGAGGATGAAACTTTAGTGAGGCAATAAGATCTACTAAGGGTACAGGTCTCTATTAATATGCCACTAAGCATGCGTGCTCGTTAATGAATTAATTAATGAATTCTGTTAATTTAATTTCATTGGCTTGAATTTATATTGTGTTTTTGAAATTTTCTTTTTATTAAGCCGTTTTGTCGAGTTACAAATATTAATTTTTTATAATCGTTTAATTGAAATAAGGATACATATTTTTACTCCACTTAGTGTGTCTTTGCAAGTGCTTTGAACACATTAATATAGCGTCAGTTGATGTGCCTGTCCACAACTGTGTGCCGCAGTTAATGTGTGTACTCTGCACAGTGTTCCAGCAGTTAATATGCTGTCTAAACTTTGAACTCTGCAAAAAATATTTTCCTCTAAGATAGGTGTTTTTATGTAATTTCAATACGATCTTTTACGTTGTAAATTTCGTTATAACTAAAGCATAACGTCGATGATTTCTCTTAGAAGTGAAAACAAGGTTAGGTTTGCCAGTTACAGGAGAATGAGCAGGTACAAAGCGGACAGGCATTAAAATCTCGAGGTTAGTAGATTCACTTTAAACGATACGAAAACATTGAAAAACTACATATCTTGTTATTTTTCTATAAAATTAAACGACTCTATGATACAATTAACACATTATATTAGTGTAAATCATGATTATCAATTTATTCATCTCTGTTAAGGGCATATTCTTCAAATTTTTAACAGTGTTTGACGAGTAGGTATTTCCTCGTCATAAGGAAATTGCCACATTTGGAGTAATGACGAATATACTCGTCATGATTACATTTTGTTATAATTTAATTCAACTCTACAGTAGGTGCATTTCCTCTGCATTTAACAAGTATATGTATTAGTCATCGCTTGATTTTAATTACGCACGCAGATACACATTTCCAAAACAAAAGTCCGCCTTTAAAAGATAACGTTTCTGACAAGATATTTGGGTACATCCTTTGATATTATAATATACACTTTTGACAAAAATTGCTTAAAAATTACTTTAACTGTTTCAAATTACAATATTTTCGTTTGTAACACATACACCACTAAACACAAACAAAACCTACATGACACAATGTAAAAAAGATATTTAAAATTTGTTATCCTAAATAATTAATGTGTGTTAAAACACATGAAGTTGAAAAACACCACAATTCGGTGGACTTTGATCATTCTCCCGTTAGAGAATTGTGACATTGATCGTTCTTCTCCGAACCCAGGATTCTTTGGTCCTTAGTTTTTCTGGATTGGGCACGTTTTTGCTCTTATTATACTACAGTTTGATAGCTGTTCTCAAGCTTACACACATAACGTTAAAATCTCAATTTCGATTTAGACTGAACTATGTATAATCGATTTCCCTCCTGGGGGATGAAAATTAGTAAAGGCTGGTACATTCGTAAAATATTCACGTAGATTTCCACCATCGTATAAATATACTTATGGACGGCAGTGTATGTTAATAATTGAACTTCATTTCACAAACATTTTTATGTATCTATTTTTCCAAATTTCTATTTACGGCTTATTTAAATTTAAAGGCTGGTAGAGACAGGCTCATTAATAGGGACCAGTAAAGTCGACGGGCACGATATTGTGTCCTCGTACAATCATTAAGTTGTAAAACTGTCCTTGTTTCGGTAGCCGAAACTATAATACGAGACGCTTAAGCTTCTTTAGGAGCGTAAAATATCAATTCGAAATGGGTTACCTGCAGTTTAATTTTTACCAATATAGTAATTTCTATTGAGTAGGAGGTGGCAGAGGCTAAACATAAAACGTATACTTTCGATGATATATTCTAAACAGTAGTTTTACATATCAATTTGCAAATGACGTTTGCTGCCTGAGATTCAGCCCGTTTCTGGGCATGTTAGGGCCCCTTACGACGACACTACCACGTCCGTGCACGCGGGGCCCGTCCAGCCCTTGGTGCGATTACATAAATAGGCGACTCTAATAAACGCTTAATTTTACGAAGTAAATATCGTGCCTGTCGACTTTACCCACCCCAGTCCACAGGGGCTGAATGGACGAGTAGTACGAAAGTGCAGACCTTCGGACAACCGTCGACTGAGGGTGGTTAGACATTCTTTTTTTTCTCCCCCCTCTCTCTATTTGGCTTTCCTTGGTAGCATACCATTCCCTCCAGCCCTTCGTCCATCAGTTTTCTCCGTTCCATTTCCTGCGACTACCCCCACCGGGAGTTCTGCTCCCGCTGCGAAGCCACGAAGCAAAGTATAGTCGGTGGGTATTCACTGGTGGGTACGTTCAGTGTCGGACCGACCGGTGGCGTGTGTAGGTGGGTGGAGCGACGTTTCGCCGTCACGGGTTTACTTCGAACGGCTAGTAAACACGAGCCGAAAACCGGATAAACCTAAAGCGGCTATCGTATGAATTGCCTGCCTAGCTGTATTATCAACAGGACGAACATTATCGTGGGATAAAGAGAACCGAGGTGAGCGCGAACAAAAGAATCATCCCGACAAGAAGGGAAGAACACGTGCTGACGGATCCTCCTGTTGAACCCACGTTCTCGTTCGGTTTTCATTCCTTCTTTTGTTCTATTTCGGTTACCGTTTTATTTCTCCCCGTTCGATCTCTACCCGTGTGTCTCGATTCTACGTGCTTCGTAATCCTCGATCTTTACGCCGACGACATCACCGTCGTGTCGCCTCGGTGCTTTATTTTTGATGTTGCTTTTCGCTCGCCCTCCCACAGGCGATCCAGCCGACGATTTCCACAACCGTGGAATTCGTCTCCGTTCGTTCACGCGCGACTGGCACGTTACGCGTGCTGTTTCGTTCTTCGTAATTGTCACGGTACCAATTGGGAACGTGTTTGTGGTAGCAGAGCGTCTTTGAGCAAGAACTTTGATGTCCTCGGAATGATTGAACGGGGTGGTCTTTTTAGTCACGGTTAGACTGTTATTATCGGTTTCTTTTTTAGATTAATACAGATCTCGCCTTTTTATGCGGTTTAATTTACATCGAGGCGTAAAATGTAATTGGACAGGTTTCAGTTAGGAAGAAATCTTGTGTGGATGTTAATTTGAATGTGGAATCGCGGTATTACGCGTGTCGGAATTTCTTTGGGGAAGTTAATCTTGGTCTATTGTCAATGACGCATTCGGGTTTCTATGTCGTTAAATTTTTTAGCACAGCTGCAAAGATTTTGTCTTCTTTCTATCATGTCCGTTTTTCGTTAATTGCAGTTATAGTATTTGCCATTGTATCCCTGCTTTTGCCTGTGAAAATGTTTAACACTAGAACTATCCAAGATAAGTTTCTATTTCTGTCATGTTGATTCTAACTTGTTGAAAATATGCAAATCGGCAAATTAACGAAATTCTTTGTTTATATATTGCATTAAAAGTTGCAAATATTTTAAGAAAATACACTGTTATGAAATGGTAATTATATTTATAAGAGATTACGAACCAGAAATTTTTACTGTTTCGATAGTTGTAGTGTTAATTGTGTTTTTAGTAATTCTGACGAATTGTCTTGTATTAAAAGAATATTTGCATACAATGGGTTCCTTTAATGAATGAAACTAATCGA